GACAAAGTCTTCTACACAAATTTATTTACAAGAAATTTTACAAGGATTATGATGAATCAGTGTATGATACACGAGCAAGGTTTTTCTGGAATCAATAAAGCTACTAAGATAGATATTATAGTCATCACAGGAAAGTTAGAAAGATGTGATATAATTCTGTCTTTTAGGAATTCTTTACCAACACCATTATTATAATTCATAAAATCTTCAAAACCTTTACTTGTACATATGATAAATAAGTAAGACAAACACTAATTGTAAATAATCATAAATATTTATGAAATCTCATTCAATAATGTCAACATGCACCAATATTCCGCCAATCAAACCTGGTGAACACAAACTTAAATTGCACGTACCTAACTTAAAGTTAGTGAATGAATGCTGTTCAAAGTCACAGTCCAAAATATTTCAGCTTATTGCTGCAGCCTGTAATTAATCAATTCTGGACCAAACAAACCTGTGATCAAAAGCATGAGTCACATGTCAAGTCACCTGGGTGCAGTGACACAGTCAAGCCATCTGGGTGCAGTGACACAGTCAAGTCATCTGGGTGCAGTGACACAGTCAAGTCACCTGGGTGCAGTGACACAGTCAAGTCACCTGGGTGCAGTGACACAGTCATGCCATCTGGGTGCAGTGACACAGTCAAGTCACCTGGGTGCAGTGACACAGTCAAGTCATCTGGGTGCAGTGACACAGTCAAGCCACCTGGGTGCAGTGACACAGTCAAGCCATCTGGGTGCAGTGACACAGTCAAGTCACCTGGGTGCAGTGACAAAGTCAAGTCACATGGGTGCAGTGACACAGTCAAGCAATCAGGGTGCAGTGACACAGTCAAGCCATCTGGGTGCAGTGACACAGTCAAGCCATCTGGGTGCAGTGACACAGTCAAGTCATCTGGGTGCAGTGACACAGTCAAGCCATCAGGGTGCAGTGACACAGTCAAGTCACCTGGGTGCAGTGACACAGTCAAGTCACCTGGGTGCAGTGAAACAGTCAAGTCACCTGGGTGCAGTGGCACAGTCAAGCCACCTGGGTGCAGTGACACAGTCAAGCCATCTGGGTGCAGTGACACAGTCAAGCCATCTGGGTGCAGTGACACAGTCAAGCCATCTGGGTGCAGTGACACAGTCAAGCCACCTGGGTGCAGTGACAGCCAAGTCACCTGGCCTGAGCACAGGTACTCTTTAGTTTGCTCCCATCACAAATTTGGCTTGTCAAGGACTTTTATAAAAGAATGTTACACTTAAATATAAATAGTATCAGCATACATCCAACTGCAATGCTACAGGATTCACAATGCTGTACTGATGGTCAGACACATAACATACTATCACGTGGCTTGTTTGCATGCAATGTGAGATTTATTAGCCAAGTTTGTCATGCATCGTCATTGTGAATGAGGATAACAAGTCCTAATCCATTCTCTTTTTGACAAAGAAGGTTAAGTCTGACCAGAAGTCTAACTCCTTGCTTAACATGTCTGAGTGAAGAAACTATTTCCATGAAAATATAACAAATTTGGGATCTTCTTTTCTCCCTGACCATTACTCCTATAAGATATGAGACTTCACAAATACAAAAGTTTGATCTAAGTTTCAGTGCAACCAAATTCTGAAAACTGAATTTATGTTTACAAAAGATAAAATTTAAGTACATCATATAAATTGCATGTAAATTTTAACGAACATATCACCTGAAAACCACCTATGATGAGATGTTATATGATGAAACTATATGCACACTAGATACATGTCCATTGAAATGGCTGCAAGCATGGGAAAGATAAGGCAAACTATCTGTTAGCAATTCAAACATACTTGTTGATCACTGTATCAAAACATATCCTACTTGTCTCCCCGAGTTCCAATACAGCAGCAACAATGGTGGCCTAGTAATGCATTTTTACTCATGTTTTTATTAAGTATGGGGCAGAAGTAATTAAAAAATTAGGAACTTGTGACTCAATAGTTTTCCCTTGCTAACCATCTTAAAAATGTATGTGCAGTATTCTCATCAATGAATGATATGATGTATTCATCTCCCATTCCAAAACTATCTGACAAAACAAAACACTTGATTATCTCCAAGTAAAAAAATGTGATCGGTTTGCCAAACCGGCATTTTAATGTCAAGCTCATTTTGAGACAGGTCTCAGTAAAGCATGTTTTCACAAAACCAGCTTCTGTTTCTTATAGGAACAGTCTTCCTTGTCAAAATAATATTGAATATCACTGAAGCACCAAAATGCCGGAGCTGACATGTAGGGAAAACAAAATGCATAGTGGCAGCCATCTTGGATGAGGGGAAGCTTCCCTCATTCGAAACATGAAGTTCAAAGTTGTAAGTAGCATGGCTTTGAATATTGTGGCTAAATTCTCGATTGTGGGACATTTGGGCTGTAATTATTGATGACATATTCATATTATTTCAGCGTATTCTTGTAACAAATTAGTATTGTAGGATACATTGTCACTGAATAATTTGTTTGTGTTAAAGTGTTGGGATTACTGGATACATTGAATTAATCTTTTCGTCTTCACATTGAAGGCTGAGGAAATCCAAAGATACATCATTAATGTTTTGCACCACATAGAAGTGTGTCTTAGGAATACATCATCAATGGTGCCAAACCCTACCCAGAGCATCTGGCATTGCACTTAATTTGTCTCGGCATCCAATTCAATTTTTATTTAGTCATATCAGTGTATACATCTTTAACTAGTAAATTTGGCTGTGATTTTCACATAAAATGTTCATACACTTAAGGGTGAATTTTCTTGATTTGTCACTCTTTGAATCCAAAAAAGATGAAAAATAAATTACGCAGGGTACAGCCCAGAAGTATTGGCATCCATGTACAAGATAAACATATCATGGCATCCAGTGTACAGCACTGCCTCATCTGGAATACCACTTAATAGGACTTGGCATCCTGCCAATCTCATTAAAATCAGACCTTAGTTCTCTTGCCAGATCATGAAAGTGACAGTCAGAATGTGGTTTCTAACCATGCATCCTCGAAAACTTTAACACAGGGTATCCCGAACGATAGTTACGAGTTTAACGACTGAATCCATACAATCTAGACCATCTATTAGCCATTCCAGAATGTTCTCTTGTTCAGGTTTCATATTTTTAATCGAGAATTTCTCAAAATATGTTCCGTAGCGTAGTCTCCAATTTGAAATTAGCTGCCTTCTGATTGGTCATTCCACTGGTCGGTCAAAATTCGCACAAGGTCGGTCTGACGTGACCCGTAATGGGATGTCCTCAGATCTTTGTTTAGCTGTAGCGAGAACTAAGATCTGATTTTAATGCGATTGGGCATCCGGCACATAAAAGTGTGTCAACACCCTCATAATCCATGTGGGCAAACAGTAAGTGCATCCTAGGTCATCTTGGAAATGATATTCCGCAAATGAAACACAAGGGGTCATGACCAACGGACAACCAATCAGTAACCACAAAAATGACTACCAAATGTATCCCAGGATGTTCTCACCCATAGTGTAATAAATGTAGCAACATGACACGTAATACCAACAAATGTGTAATCTTGATAAACGATGTATGATGTCATGTCTTGAGAGTTATTTGTTTCTTGCTTAAGATAACTTCTCACTCGGTAATCTCAGAAATATTCCAGCTATATTACAGCATCAGCCTGAGAGGTAACTCTGAGAGACACATTTCTGAACAGTGAAATTGCCGTTCCTTAATCAAAATAGTCTTATAGTCTATTTCTCCCACTGAAGAGTCAAGATGAAACAGATTATTATTCATGCCTCAGGCCATGATAACTTAATTATTAGATTTCCATCTAACTTTGTAAAAAGTTGAAATTGGAGACAATTTAGTTTATATGTATGAATACTGGTGAAAACCTTATAATTGATTTATTAAGATTTTAAGCATAGAACAGGTTCACCTCAACAATCACCATACAAAGAATACAATATTTCATGATTACTTTTTGTCCTAACGAACAGAACAGCCTGCTAAAACACAAGCAAACTAATATCCTGTAAAGTCAAAGTATTTACAAAATGATAATACACCAAACAAAAAGTTTAGGATCCCCTGATTCTTACATACCATATTACTAAAGTTAATTGGTCATGTCATGGCAGATTAACTATAGTGATATGAAAGAATCAGGTGATCCTTAACTGTGTTTAGTAGTATACATAAGAACGAAGAAGCTTACACGAGGTAACTTTATCAGCAGATGACAGAATCCTTAACAATCAGCGCCACAACCATTCTACAAATCTAAACCACAAGTACAGTGTACCCTTGTCATGTAGAACTCCACAGAGGAAATATGCAGTGTTCGAAATACCTGCCTGCCCGACCGTCCGAGACGGGTTGATTTTAACTCGGGCTGCCAGATTTTCAAATCCCCCTGCCCGACGGTCGAGTAATATTTCATATGTGAAAATATTCCGATGATAAGCATTAATTCACATGTAAAGATGAATGATAAAATGTAACCAAAAAGAAACCCTGTTAGCTTATCCTGAGAAACATATGATTATAGTGGGCAGGCAGGTTTTGGTCAGGGCTGGCAAGTATTTCAGCTAGCCAGTCCTGTGGTCTGGCTGAAATTTTTGGGAGTTTCCTACCCTGAAATATGTAGGTGATATAACATCAACAAACCATATCATCTCTGATGCCCAGTCCTAGAACTCCAAGAGAATGTAAGGCCAGCCTCCCGCACCCCTCACTGGAGCCACGGGCATAACAGCTGATGAGTTTTGTCTGACCTCGTTACACCCCCATCAGGTGTTTGACTGATGGAGATTGGGAGGATATGTGTGCTACTGTCTAGTGCCGAATGTGATCAGCTCACACGTACTGCATGTGATACATGTATGAGCGAAATGTGGAGTTAAACAAAAAAGGGAGTGAGTCTGGTTTAACGCCCCTTTGAACAGTATATATTCCAGTTGTGTCACCTTGATGTTGGAGGAAAGCCCAAAATGATGCAAGTCTAAGATCCATACCTTTTTAATGAAACCCACAGGTACGTGTATGGTGCTGACAAACCAAGAAACATTATCAGGGCAAACTGGGATTTGTACCCATGATCATAGGTTTCTGACAAGCCTAAAGGACGCAACTCACAGCATATTGCAACGTCTTAGAGGAGTGGGTCAAACAAAGGAAAGCTAGCGCAGCAAACATAGTACAATATAACATAAATTAGAATATGTATATTAAGAACTGTATCACTATAAATGATTAAAAAAAACATGTTTCAATATATATGTTTTGGCAAACTGTTGCCAAGTCCAAGATTTATTCACCTGTGGTATGATAAAGCTAATGAATATTATGTCGTGATGATTAGGTAGCTCCAGATTTAAAGCCATACACTGACACTCTTTTCAAACTACACTTAATGTGATGATACATTTCCATATATATGTCCTTAATTCATTATCATCATCATCATCATCATCATCATCACTCTCATCATATTCATCATTATCCACATACACTTCATGTTCCCGTGGCAAGGAAGCTAACGGACTATAAACGTCCAGTTTCTACCCTTGCCGAACAAGGCTGGAATTTCATGGCTCAATTGTAGCCCCACCAGTGGCTATTACGAGTCATGTCCCTTTTATTTCTCTCCTATTGACCAATCAGATTCCACCACTCATATCACTTGCATTAGCTTCAAACAAAACGGCGGCGCTCATTCAAAACATTCTGATAGGTTAAATTGAAGAAAGGTTTCACAATCCCTGCCACACAGACACCCAGTGCATGTGGATTGGAACAAAACACTTAAGCACCTTGATTAAACACATGAAAACATTTCGAAAAAATGTCGACGCTAAGTTGACAGAAAACATGCTTTGCAAATCTGCAAAAATCTGCTAACAGGATGTCAATTTTGTTACGCTATTTTGATTGGACTCCTTAGTCCAGCCAAAACATAAAGCAGAAATTCCAGCATCGTTTGGACTTTTATTTAACTCCCTTGCCTTGAGAAGATGCATATACTTTGAAACTGAGTATAGGAATCTGGAGTAAAATTATACAAACAAAGAAAAACGTTTGGTTACATTAAAAATATCCAGTTGATTTAAATTTAATACACTATTAACTTCACATTAAAGAAAACATCAGGAGCAAACAATAGACATCTAGGAATATTAAAGATCAAAATCAAAGGAAGCACATTTTTCAATGATAAGTCAAACAATGTGACTGTCCAACAGATAATAAGGACCTTCACTAACACAAAGTGTCTCATATTTAGATGGTGATAAAGTCATAGCATCTTAGATCTACAGCACTACCTGGAACTGTCACACACAGTCATAGTACCACGGCGACTGTAGTGAGTGGAGTGAGTGAGTGGAGTGAGTGAGTGAGTGGAGTGAGTGAGTGAGTGGTGTGAGGTGGGTGTTACACCGCTTTTAGCAGTATCTAGCAATATCATGGTGGGGTTCACCAGAAATGGACTTTCTATACCCACGAGGGGCATCAAGCAAGGGCCTTTGGTGTGACAAGAAACTTACAAACCCTCGTATCTGAACCTAACATTGGCCATCAGGGAGTCTGTCTGAACCTAACATTGGCCATCAGGGAGTCTGTCTAAACCTAACATTGGCCATCAGGGTGTCTGTCTGAACCTTACATTGGCCATCAGGGTGTCTGTCTGAACCTAACATTGGCCATCAGGGAGTCTGTCTGAACCTAACATTGGCCATCAGGGTGTCTGTCTGAACCTTACATTGGCCATCAGGGAGTCTGTCTGAACCTAACATTGGCCATCAGGGAGTCTGTCTAAACCTAACATTGGCCATCAGGGAGTCTGTCTAAACCTAACATTGGCCATCAGGGTGACTGTCTGAACCTTACATTGGCCATCAGGGTGTCTGTCTGAACCTAACATTGGCCATCAGGGTGTCTGTCTAAACCTAACATTGGCCATCAGGGTGTCTGTCTGAACCTAGCATTGGCCATCAGGGAGTCTGTCTGAACCTAACATTGGCCATCAGGGTGTCTGTCTGAACCTTACATTGGCCATCAGGGAGTCTGTCTGAACCTAACATTGGCCATCAGGGAGTCTGTCTAAACCTAACATTGGCCATCAGGGTGTCTGTCTGAACCTTACATTGGCCATCAGGGTGTCTGTCTGAACCTAACATTGGCCATCAGGGAGTCTGTCTAAACCTAACATTGGCCATCAGGGTGTCTGTCTGAACCTAACATTGGCCATCAGGGTGTCTGTCTGAACCTAACATTGGCCATCAGGGAGTCTGTCTGAACCTAACATTGGCCATCAGGGTGTCTGGCTGAACCTAACATTGGCCATCAGGGAGTCTGTCTGAACCTAACATTGGCCATCAGGGAGTCTGTCTGAACCTAACATTGGCCATCAGGGAGTCTGTCTGAACCAAACATTGGCCATCAGGGTGTCTGTCTGAACCTAACATTGGCCATCAGGGAGTCTGTCTGAACCTAACATTGGCCATCAGGGTGTCTGGCTGAACCTAACATTGGCCATCAGGGAGTCTGTCTGAACCTAACATTGGCCATCAGGGAGTCTGTCTGAACCTAACATTGGCCATCAGGGAGTCTGTCTGAACCTAACATTGGCCATCAGGGAGTCTGTCTGAACCTAACATTGGCCATCAGGGTGTCTGACGTAACAATAAGGTCCGTCACTAGACTGAGAAATGAGTTGATTGTGACACTAGTCACTCAAGCTTTCAAATATACCTAAGTCGGCATGTCTGAGACTTGTAAACTTCATGACATTTCCTTGTGGCCTACCATGTTTACCATTATGAAGAAGACAACAGTCTAGCACATCATTTTTCGGACTTGTGAAAGGATTATTATTTCTGACACTTATATGTCTTATCTGCCTGGCACTATGACGGCGTTGTGGGACAGTTCCACACAGTGGCGACAGAGACACCAAAGCAAGCTGATCAACAGACAACTCCTATGTTATTATCCTTTACAATGTTTCCTGCATATGTCGTCCTGCCCCTGTCAGCAGTACATCCGGCAGGTCCACGCCTCCATGCTGCATAGTGATGAAGTGGGGATCAGGTTCACCATCCTCTTCAATGCCTAACAGGCTAATGGTTTGAAACACAATCAACATTTCTCACATGGCAATGATAGTACAACCACTAACTTTAGTTGGTGGCGTTCAATGACCTAAGCACCCCACCGCATCCCCTATAGACTAACATTTAGTCTCTGAAATCTTATATTACACAATATCCTTTTTGACTCTAAAAATATAAAAAAAATCCCTATGCATCCCCTACAAAAAAAGAAGATATTCTTCTGTCATACATTTTTTCATTCCAGAAAAGCAAACCATGTTAATGTCCATAGAATTTTAAGAGTTACATTTTCATGTCAATTTCATTTCATTTTTTTCCCATCTACCAGCTGCCTCCTGACCAAAGTCTTTAAAAAAAAAATAGACATGAAAATCAAGAACTGAAGGACATACTGTGTACAGAATATCAACCTAGTTAAAAAAAAACAGTTTGCAGTCTGAAATTTCTGTTCAGGCTTCCCTGGGTGCTTCAGAAAGACACAATAAGATGCATCATCCATTGTAATTGTATAAGTTACCTGCTATATCGGGGTCTTGCTAGCTATGTCATTAACTCAGGAAAACGTAACAGAAAGTTGCACCGATTCAGTTCACAATGACACTGATAAAGAAAAGTTTCCATCTCTGAACACCGAAGACAATGAAGTTTTCATGCATAACACCCTTCCTACTTTACACTTATTCCATTCAGAGAGAGTATCTGAAAATGTCTCACAAGCTTCTAAAAAATGATTAGTAAAGTTTTTTTCACCACAGAAGCACTGCATATTTGATGAGCAAACTGTAATACAATCAATCAGAATCACAGCTATATACACAGGTAGCAGAATCAGCATTCATTGAAGGAGAGGACTAGAGTTTCTTTATCATGATTATATACTTTTAATTTAGATACATGTTATGAAAAAATACAATTCAAGTCACAAAAAAGGTTTATTAAAAATAATATTATATTTTGACATGATAAGGTAGTAATAAGTAATAAAGTGAATTATTTTAATCAATATACTGGTATTTAACAAGAGAGTAATGTCATATAAGTCACATATAAGGGAGAAAAATTAGATACTCTTATATATATATATATGACATTCATCATAAGAAATGACAAGACAGCGTTTCTGAGACATATGTTGCCATGGTAACTGTAGACCCTCCTTGGTTCCAACTGTCCTTGTCTGTTGCAGAAGCATGTGATATGATGTAACGTGTATAACTACCAGAAGTCTATGATAACACACATCCACTCTTCTCTTGCCCTGTGTTTTCTGACCGCTCTATTCTTGTGATGATGGACTTGAAAATTTCTTCAACTCTCTGAAACGGAAACTAAATTATATCAACATTCTCTCTGGCAACACACTATCATCCATTTAAAACACAGCAAACAGCATGAGTATGAATACTGCAGCATGAATATGAAATTATGAATACTGTGAAATTAATGTGAAAAAATGCAAATACCTCTTCGATTAATAAAGTAATGCATTTTTATCAGAAAATAATTGAGTTGTCATGTCAGGATCACTGCACATTATGAAAACAATTTAATAATCTATTAAATTACAAAACACCAAATAAAAAATTTAGTGCTAGGCTGGGCACCATGTCAGAGTCACGTTGTTATTACAAATACATAGTTGTTTGATAGGCATTACTTAGAAGTTGACGGATGACAAAGTAGACACAATTTACGGATAAGAACCTCTTCTTACAACGGTATAAGGATATATACCAAAACCTCGCTGTTATCCATAAATTATGTCTTTTTTTAATACATAGCATTGATAATTTACATGAATTTATTTCATGATGATTCGTGTTACAACACTTAGAACCTATAAAATCTTTATCAGTTGATGTGCCCTATCTCAATTTAATATGTCTTTGTTGAAATTTCCTGCTATTGATTTCAAATGTCGGAGAGAAGTAAGTTTTGGTGAGGAAAGTAAACACTACTGTTCAATGAAACTGGTACTACTATGGTATTCAAATGCCTGATGTTGTTTGCTGATTATTGAGATGGCATTCATAAACTTCAAAGTAGGACTACTCACATTAATTTCAAGACAAAGTTTAGGCTAGGGGAAGGCATTTGCATTGATTTGGTGCTGCATTAATTTCATGATTTGTTAAAGTCACGTTATGACATTACAGGTGTAATGAGTATGGTTTAATGTCGCTCTGAACAGTTTTTCAGGTTTTCAGCTTAATTTGGGAGGAAAGACCCAAATGATTCAGGTTTCAGGTGTTAACCACCTTGGTGAAACCAACGAGCACGGGTATGGTGCCGACAAACATGGCAATCCAGGGTTCGAACCCACAACCATAGGTTTCTGGTGTGTGCAAGGGATAGTTCATGGAAAGAAAACATATTTGATCATATTTGTACGTAAAGCAGTGGCAATGTCTGTTTTATTGATGTGAGCTGAATGCACACATACTGATATGTTTTATTTATTTTCAATAATGAATTCCTACTTTCCTATTAATAGTTTACATAATGATGATAATAATCAGCTTATGTACAGTAAAAATATCCCACCTGATTTTCTTTAGCTGAAGATTCCAGAAATGGCGCCTTCCAGGAATCTGCTAATTCTTTGCCTTTTTCAAAGGACACCTCTCTGGAGCAGGAACATATACACATTCTACACTCTTCATATAAAACTGGACAGATATCATTATGCTTACTGATATTTCATGCATTCAGTACGTACGTCAAGTTGATATCATTTAAAGGATAGTGAAACTAGTCTCAACTTAATGTCTTCAGCATAAAATCCTCCACCAATATAACATGTCCGGTTGTGTGCAAGGGACAAAATATTGTAAAGACCTGCTCCGGAAATGAGCACTACCTCCATTTCCAGTCTTAGTCAAAGTCGTTGCTATGGAAACTAAAAAAAATCTTTTTTTTAAAAATACCAAACTATCAAAAGGCACCAGTTCACCACTAGACCTATCTATGTGCCAAGTTGGATGAAGACATATTGTACAGTTTTCAAGATCTGCTCCGGAAAGGAGCACTACCTCCATTTTCAGTCTTGGTCAAGGTCGTTGCCATGGAAACTCGAAAAATACATTTGTCAAAAATCTGAAACTATCTAAAAAGCACCAGTTCACCACTAGACCTATCTATGTGCCAAGTCTGGTTAAGATATCTCTCAAGGTATTTGAGTTCTGCCCCGGAAACGAAACATGATGGATGGAAGGAAGACAGATTGAAGGATGGACGGACAGCACCCATTCCTATATCCCCCTTCCACTTCTTGGTGGGGCTTAATAAAATCTCGGACTGTGATTCATCCCATTACCTGTCTTAGCCATACAATGTAAGTGTGTCCCCTGTACCCCATGTTGGTGGTGTAACGTTACAGGGACACAGTATTGTATCCCGATAAGAAGCCAGCCATTGACACAATACACCATTTTACAACCCCTGTATTGCGATACATACCATACATCGTTTCAAGTTATATTGATGTAAAAACATGTGAATAATAACAGAAACTGTTCCACAACCAGCTTAAGCAGATTCTCTAGCATACATGGCCCTCAAGTCTATATGTTTCTGCCCTACAATATCCCATCTTCAATCTCAGAAATGTAAAAACAAAGGATTCATGGTTGTGATTCATCTTAAAAAGAAAAGAATATCAACTTATGAAAAGAATGTACTGTATACCATTAAGCATTTGCGATTCTAATGATATAAGTTTTATTACAAAATTCATCATGTGAGGTGAGGTGAAATTGGGTTTAACGTCGCGTCCAAGATTATTGCACTTATATAGCGACATGCATGCACATGTGTCTGTGTGGTGTCTGTCTGTGTGTCTGTGTGTCTGTGTGTCTGTGTGTCTGTGTGTGTGTGGCTGCTTGTACTAGTCTGGACTGATGCCGATTTATAGTGCTAACTCACTGAGATACCATGCCACAGTTTAACATGAATACCCCACTCAGACACAGTATACCGACTCCGAGCCGACCAGTCCTTGTTTTAGCCCCTTAATGCCGAGCGCCAGACAGGGTAACAACAAGTACAATCTTTTAACGTCTTTTTGTATGACGCGGCCCGGGATCGAACCCTGGACCTTCCGCTCTCCCGGCGGACGCTCTACCACAAGACCACGGAGGCGGTCTCATCATGTGAAGTTTGCAGTTACCAATTGAAATTACTCTACAGTTTTGCATCATTTTTTTTAACGTTTTCCCTTTCTAATTCAAGATTACTGTTAAAAAAAATTCAAAAGTACATTAATACAAACATAATGAATGTATGTTACTATTTGTGTCTTTCTTCATGCAAGTTCATACTTTTTTGATAACAAAAAGGGGAAAAAACAGGCCAAACTGAATTTCTACAGAGAGTTATGGGAATTGAATTGCCGCGTGGGCAAGAAGCCACCCTAACTGTATACTGTACCTATAGTATCTGTATACCTATCATGTTGTTGAGACCCAACGGTTTTGTCACACCAGGTCTGTTGGTACTGATTGTGTATCATTGTGCACACACAGTGTAGAACGTTACTCATTCTGCCAATCACTGGTTTGCCTGACCCAGACTATTACAATGCTGAATATTGTTAACTGAGGCATAAAATTACGTTAATTCGCTCATGTACAAGATTGTGATGAACATGTAATACATGTGCTCATATTTAATAATATTTATTATTGTTGGTGAACTTTAATGTGAGTGAAATCACTGCTAAAGCTACTGCTGTGGGGGATGTCAGGTGTTTCTACTGATGTCCTAGAGTATTCTTTTGAATACATACCTTTCCATTCTAAGGTCACTTTTGTTACCAACCAAAACCACTGGCACTCTGAAACATCAACCACAAAATACATCTACATTATCATCATCATCATCATCATCATCATCATCATCATAATCATCATGACAACAACAACAATAATAGGATAATAATAACCTCCAGGTCAATTCATAACATGTAGTTGTTGATGATGTCCTCATGACAACAACAACAACAACAACAATAATAGGATAATAATAACCTCCAGGTCAATTCATAACATGTAGTTGTTGATGATGTCCTCATGACAACAACAACAACAACAACAATAATAGGATAATAATAACCTCCAGGTCAATTCATAACATGTAGTTGTTGATGATGTCCTCATGACAACAACAACAACAACAACAACAACAACAATAATAGGATAATAATAACCTCCAGGTCAATTCATAACATGTAGTTGTTGATGATGTCCTCATGACAACAACAACAACAACAACAATAATAGGATAATAATAACCTCCAGGTCAATTCATAACATGTAGTTGTTGATGATGTCCTCATGACAACAACAACAACAACAATATATAATAGGATAATAATAACCTCCAGGTCAATTCATAACATGTAGTTGTTGATGATGTCCCTACATCCTAACACATCCATACACGGAAGTCGACTGATCATTCCCCAGATACATTAGGTAAAGATTCATTTCCAAAACAAATGCTGTATTTTCCTTAAAGAGAACAATTATTATTAATATGATAATATTCAACTAAATCATAATGTTAATGGTACCAAAGATTGAATGTGTAATAATTTGTAATTTTGCTCATGGGTTGATTTGTTCTGCCAGCTGAATTTTTGTTTCAGATAAAAAAATATTTATTTATAAGAGTTTTGCTTTCTTAGTTATTTTACTTATCCTAAGAACACAGAAAATGAAAGATTTTTCTAATCATGCTAATGACATTCAGTCATTAATCAATCATTGATTGCTTTTTCAAAAAATGATTAATTTTCAAATTTCCACCAGTTCCCAACCCTACAACAATCATGCCCACTGCTCTCAGATACAGGGAACTGCTACATCCTAGTTGACACAGCTGATTCACCATGTCAAGTTTGTTGGTGGGTTTTTGTTTAACGCCGCACTCAGCAATATTCCAGCTATATGACAGCGGTCTGTAAATAATCGAGTCTGGACCAGACAATCCAGTGATTAATATCATGAGCATCGATCCACACAATTAGGATCGATGACAAGAATAAACCAAGTCAGCGAGTCTGACCACCCAACCCCGTTAGTCGCCTTTTACCACAAGCATAGTCACCTTTTACGGAAAGCATGGGTTGCTGAAGACCTATTCTACCCCGGAATCTTCATGGGTTACACCATGTTAAGGGGAGGACTGAAGAGGGGCCTTCAGGGGATTCTGGGTTACAATGGGTCCCTATAGAACTGTGCAGGTCATAAGAGGTGACTGTAGATCAGGTGGTCCCACATAGTGACTTGGTCCATAGTGTGTCATCATACGCCGGAGGCATGGTATGTTGCTCTCAATATCAATCACTGGATTGTCTGGTCCAGTCTCGATTATTTACAGGCCACCATCCTATAGCTGGAATATTGCTGAGTGTGGCATTAAACAACACCCTCACACTCACAGAGGCACACACACAGGCACAAACACACACAGGCACACACACACACCGGGGCGCGCGCGCGCGCGCGCGCGCGCACACACACACACACACACACACACACACACACACACACACACACACACACACACACACACACACACACACACACACACACACACACACACGCACGCACACACGCACGCACACACGCACACACGCACACACGCACACACGCACACACGCACGCACACACGCACGCACACACGCACACATGTACACACAGAGGCACATGCACACACACAGGCACATACAGACACACACACTGGCAGGCACACACACACACACATGCACACACAAATGTTTGTGTACTTACGTGTTTGTTCCCTTCATGTCCAGGATTCTGTCATACACAAACTGCACCACTTCAAAGCTGGAAATGAGAAACAAAACTGTCAAATACAACAAGAAAGTCATCCACATCCCCCTATAGGTTCAATAGAACATAACTTTCTTAATCTGGTTTTCACTTGATAACAAAATATATTCAAATATTTATCCTTGAAGGGTTTATTAAAATGTCATCACAAGCGGTTTCTGAGAAAACGTTTCCTGGAGTAACATGACTTCACTTTAGCATGTTTAGTTGATTACATGCAAGGTACATAAACACCACAAACAAAGTACGTACCTTGTATCAGAGAAAATCCCAAACACAGACAAAAATGATAAAACATATTCTGGGAATTGTAAGTTTTCCAATAAATTGTCTATCTATATATATTTATTCTATCTAACAATATGCATTTCATCCTTCTTCTTCCATCTAATGAGAAACATGCTTGAACAGAGTTTCCAGCTTCTAAAAAAACAATCCACCTGAACACATCCCAGCATCACCATGGTCACCTCCCAAACAAAAGGGTCGTAATCCTGTGTATGGTGACCTACACACCCTGATCACGTGCCTCCTTTGTCTGTCACTTCTTTCTCTTTCGTCCGAGTTAACAGGCTATAGGAGATAAGATGCAGGGATGGCCGGGTGGGCATGTAGCGTGTGAGATAGGACAAGTATATAAATATACACTTTAAAGGAAAATGTCCAAATTTAAAAACTTACCCTATCTCACACTATGCATTTATGCCACAGTTGGAAGGTGGGCGCAGATACCCTAGCCTGTAAAACTACACCCGTGAGACGTACACGAGGAAGCTGGTTCTCAACAGTTAAATAAATTAAATAGTTACACCACTGTCAAGTGTCGTAAATAACAAGAACTTGTGAGCAGGAAATCAACCATCATCTGGTGATACGATCCCGATACGCTACTCGAACGTAACAGAATGAGTTTGGGTACAACTTGCACAACGTGTTTTCACGTATGTCATCGTTCAAATGAACAACTGCGTAGCTGTTAAGAAACAAGCGATACAGAGTATGACTTATAATTGATCCTGAAGGGGGCTCCAGTCAGTCGATTCTACAAGACAGAGCATAACACTATCTCCCTAGGACAATAGCATGCGTCTGCTTGGCATCTCTTTCAAAGCTTTGCCAAGGCTTTTAAACATACCCAGGTGATTAAAGAGTGCCAATCTCATTAAAATCAGACCTTAGTCCTCACTATTGCTAAACAAAGATCTGAAGACATCCCATTAGGGGTCACGTCGGAACGACCTTTCATCCGACCAATCAGAGCGTCGCTTACCAGATCATGAAAGTGACAGTCGGAATGTGATTTCTAATCATACAACCTCGAAAACTTTAACACGGGGTATTCCGAACGATAGTTACGGGTTTAACGTCTGAATCCATACAATCTAGACCCTCTATTATCCATTCCAGAATGTTCTTTTGTTTAGGTTTCAAATTTGTAATCAAGATATGTTTCGAAGCGTAGTCGCCAATTTGAAATTAGTGCCATAAAGCACGAGAAAGGTGCCTTCTGCTTGATCATTCCATTGGTCGGTCAAAGTTCGCGCAAGGTCGGTCTGACATGACCCGTAATGGGATGTCCTCAGATCTTTGTTTAGCGGTAGCGAGAACTAAGATCTGATTTTAATGAGATTGAAAGAGTGCCATCACAAGAAGAGGATATCCAACATCCAATCCGATCTTCGAACCAATATCCGACAACACAAATACTCAAGGCAGGGCTGAGCGGAATAAATGTTCGTTTGCAACGGTCGTGCCTTGCGGCGACTTCGATGTTGAAACCAAAGTCTCTACAGACGAGCAAATCCACCCTCCAATAGGGAACTCGGTCTGGGAAACCTGAATAATAAAAAATCAATAAACACAAGAGGTAAGTTTATTTAAGATATAAGAAAGAGAAACAAACACCAAAATGTATTCTCTAATGATCAAACACATCACCACATTGTGGCAAAGAGAAAGAGAATGAAGTAACAGACAAAGGAGGCACATGATCAGGTTGTGTAGGTCGCTATGCATGGGATTAAGTGACCCATTTGTTTGCGGGGTGACCATGGTGATGCTGGGGTGTGTTCAGCTGGACTGTTTTTTCAGAAGCTGGAAACTTTATTACCAATCTCACCACTGCCACACTACCTGTAGATTAACAGTGCAAAATTGTACATAAACATCTAGCTAAACTTTCAACGAGGTCTCACGGCAAAGTTTTCTCTGAGCTCACATTTGTAACACCCTATACCAATCATAGCAGTCCAGGCAGGCTTTGAGTTCAATTTTGAGACTTACGAAAATGTAACAATGAGTGATTTACAGATGTATGAACTTTGCAACTTGTAGGAAAAAACAATTATTATTGACCAAATTATTATTATTGACCAAATCGATGTTCATTATGCAAGACCACTTACCTCATCACCTTGATTCCAGGACTCAGATCTACATATGTTATGACACACGGCACTGGTAAGTATTATAACAAAGCCATGTTGCAGCACTGACCTTTTCTGTGAGTTTGTCGAGTAAACCAGGACGTAGCCATCAATGTTGACATAGTAAGACTGAGGAGGTAGAGAGTATTCATCCTGTTCAAAGAAGACAAAAAATAACAATAACATGACAACTCTTGGACTAAGACTTGTACAATAGTGATGGTCTTATTAGCACAAAATGTGTGCAAACAAATTGCTATCAGTACTATTTTAGCCTGAGCATCACACTTACTCATTGCTATCAGTACTATTTTAGCCTGAGCATCACACTTACTCATTGCTATCAGTACTATTTTACCCTGAGCATCACACTTACTTGTTTATTAACTCTCAGCACGCTTGACTACCAAGCATGGTCTACCACAAGACCACAGAGGCAGTCTTGTCAGTCAAGTGTCCGCCCAGAGAAGCAAAAAGCTTGAAAGATGGTACTTGTTGTTACCCCGTCTGGCGCTCGGCATTAAGGGGATAAAACAATGACTGATCGACCCAGAGTCAGTATACTGTGTCTGACAGGGGTATTCATGTTAAACTGCAGCATGGTATCTCAGTGAGCTATCACTATAAATCGGCATCAGTCCAGACTAGTACAAGCAGTCACACACACACACACACGTGCATGCACGGCGCTATATAAGCGCAATTAACTTCGACGCGACGCTAAACCCATTTCACCTCACCTAACCTTGACTGACACAGGAATGTGACCTTCTGGATGACCTAAGCTTTCACAGGTAAATGTTTTCTTGCTTCCTTTCTTGGCACAACATTTCAGTTACCTTGCCATTTGGAAGCCTTCCCATAATAATGTTTCAAAAACTGCTGTAGAATTCACATTGATGTTTTTGCTAGCGATCAAGAAATTTCAGTATTTCCTCTCTGAAACAGACCCAGGGTTTCAGATGTTCATGTTCTAGGACACTGACTTTTTGTAATCCAAAATGTCCAAAGTGTTTTATTCAAATTTGTTAATGAAACAGAAGACTGTTGATCAAAATGTATCAAATATTGATAACATCACGAAAATATCCTAATAATAAAGTAATGCCATTTGTCACCAGCAAACGTACCTGACCAGCAGTGTCGACAAGCTGAAGGGCAAACTCCTGGCCTCGAATTGTTATCATTTTCTGAAAAGCTGCAACAAAATGTGTGAGATAAATGTCAGTGAACACATAATCATTGTAAGACTTGCAATAGTCATTGTAAGATTTGTAATAATCATAGTCATCCTGATCGTGACAGTATTTCGAAGAGCAGTTTCCTGAGCTGCAAATTGCCTTTGATTCTAGATCTCATAACCTTAAAATGATTACCCAGATAAGGGATTTATCTTGATCTGCTTAGAGGCGAAAACCATGCCCCAAATCTGCAGCAAATGTCAGTAAAACTTCCCAAACTGGAAGTAAACATTTCCCAAATCATGCTGTTATAGTTGTAACTAATGTTAAGGCTTTGTAAGTTGGCTTGTATTTCACTGACAGCAGGACCAATTCAGAGGAAGAGGCTTTAAGGATTAGCATTCCATGCAATGTTAAATTCAGTGTTAAATTCAATGTTAAAATACCTCTGAATTTAGGAAAATAGGAAACTTTAAAATAAATCCAAATTTGACAAAAATACTGATTTTCCTAATTTGCCAGCCCAGGGCACTCAGTTTGGAATTGTAGATAAATCTATGCAGATTTAACATTCTATGACATGCAGGACCATGAGGCCCGTAGTTTTTGACGACCAATGAAGAAGGAGCCTTGGCTGTCAAACACTATATTCCCTATTGTATTACCCATAAGGTTAGAAATAACCAAGTTAAAAAAATAGTAAGTGCACCAGTGCAAATATCACTTCATTATCAACCAGTGTATTGTTTGCGCCATGTGGACTGCATTGTTGACGTCCTTTGAATCGTATTGTGACATAAGGTCAGAATGACGTCACACTAGAAACGACGTCATACCTGGAGATTATTGACGTCATTTGACAATTGTGGTTTTCTAAGATGGCAGTCATGATCAGGAAAGGGGAACGCAAAAGAATTAAGAACTAATGGGTAATAAAGAAATTATTATACTCGCATGTGTTACACTGATTTTACAAAACTTGTGAAAGAATTCACGTATAACCCTCGCTTTCGTTCAGGAAATAAAAAGATTTGGTAACATCAGATTGACACACATGCTCACATAATAATCTCTATAAATGTAATGTTTGCACAGCAACTGAAATGAGTAGGGAGTGAGTATGGTTTTACGCCGCTTTTAGCAATATTCCAGCTAAATCAGGGCGGGGACACAAGAAATGGGCTTCACACATTGTACCCATGTCGGGATTCGAACCCGGGTCTTTGGCGTGACGAGCGAATGCTTTAACCACTGGGCTACCTGACCGCCCCTAAATGAAATGAATAATGAGAAATGTAATTAATATGGTTAATAGAATATTTGTGTTTCTAATTCTACTTACTGTTTTCAATAGTTGGGTCATATGAGTCGACAAAATGGTTCTCCACGAACTGGATTGTTAATGACGATTTACCTGAAATAAACCATCAGTGATAAATACATATTTCATGTGATATTTTGAAGTTGCTCTGACTTGCTGGAGACAATTACCCTAACTGGGCCATAGGTAGATCGCAACAATTCAACAAGGTATTGGTCCATCAAGTCACTTTGTTTCATGATTCATGAATCTTATCATAAAAAGATCTTTAAACAAAGAATACATGATATAATTAGGAAATCTTTCAAAAGTAAAATGCTTATATAACAAGGTGGAATATACCTCTCATGTCACTGGTCTTTAAATTGTCAAATGTCTATGAAGTGTGTCTTGGTTAGAAGCCTCTAGTGAGTAAGTTTGATGATGTTGATGGTGGAATATGGCAATACAGTGTTCCCTCTTTATAGCACGCTTCAATAAAGCGCTAACTCGGTTATAGCGTGCGGTAAAGTATGGCTCCCAAAATTTACCAACGTTTTTAAAAGACTCGAGTATTCCAATGACACAATGTTTCCGCCATCTCAGAATACATTATCAGCTGATCACCGCGATCACGTAACACCGGATATACCAGTCAACAAATCCGAACTGAAGTACGCAATTTAATCCTATTATCATGATTATTATAATTTCTTGTTTATTATTTATCTGGACTAATGTTTGCAATATATTTTATTAATTATATTCAAAATTACATTCAATAGCCGATTGCTATTTCGAGCTTAGTTTACGAGAAAACACACACGGTAAACTTAATCTCTGTATATAAAACAATGCCTTGGAGAGCAGGAAATATATTTTAAATGGTAAATGATCATGTCCAGTGATGTTTTATATAAATTTCATACTTTTATTGACCAAGTTTGTTATATACCTGTTTATGCACCTGAATTCGCTGAACGGATATGATGTGTTTTTTTGAAAGCGCATATTAATACTCAATAAATCTTTTTTTACACTATGAATCATAAACAACTTCTATTCTAATCTTTTTTTAAACTCTGAAACGTGCAACGTAGATCATGTTAGGTAGGCACAGCATATACACTGTTTTGTTGGTCATCTACCACCTTCGACTAGACCTCCGTTAAAGCACTGATCATCTATAACGCTCATCACTTATTTCAACCCTGAAGGTAGCGTTGTAGCGAGGGATCACTGTATAACATTGCTTACATTACATCAGTCCAATTACACACAATGCATTGTGCATTATGTCATGACCATATCATGCTTATTTTTGAGACACCATGGATATTAATTGCATCAAAACAATACATATCATTACAGTATCTAGTCATTGCTAGGTTAATGCATAGTAAATTTTATACTGTAAAGGAGTCACGGGTGGCTTAGTTGTCTGAGGTACCGCAATTCGTTGTGCAGAGTTGCGTCCCTTGGGCACACCAGACACCTATGATTACGATCGTGGAATCGCCCTGATTATCATGTTTCTAAGTCTGTCAGGACCATACTGATGCTGTGGGGTTTTACCAAAGTGGTAAACGTCCAAGACCTGCATCATTTGAGGCTTTCCTCCAACATCAAGCTGACACACCCTGACATAACTGGAATACTGTTCAAAGCTGCATTAAACCCAACGAACTCACTCTCACTGTAAAAGTAGATGTTAAAGGTAGGCAAAACTGACTGTCCTTTGGCAAATTTGTAATAAACCTTATTTTGTATATAAAAAATTGGAGCACCTTAAGAATTAAGCATAACAAATTCTAAGATATTTCATTTCTGACTAAATGGAGTAAGTAAAAGTGAAGTTCAATGATAAATTCCTGTTGTCAAATTATTTGATACTAAACCATTTCATCCTGCTCTCTTTATGTTTCTGTGTATATATATACACATGTCATGTAATGTGATGTATATGCACCTCTCATTACTTGGTTGTAGTCACTCCAGCGTGATAACAGTGTAAGAATCTACATTGAAACGTCACAATATGCTATAAACCAGAATTTGTTATCCGTAAAGTTGTATGTGTTTTTAATAGTACATATTTTGCAATATGACCTTGACTTTTCTTATCAGTAAATATGATCAACAATAAGTTTCATGTTGTAAGTCATAACAATAACACACTGCTCATTCATATTTTTTGGCATGTAGATCATGTTTTTGGATGAATGCCAACACTGCCACCTCGTCCCCCCTTACATGCCCCAAATACCTCACACAATCTCATGACGGTGAAGATGTTTTCTGGTTCCTGTCATTGTCCATGCATGTCTAAAAGTATTGCATACATGTTGCCAACGTATTTTTTCCCATTGTCCATTCCGATCATTTCCTAGGTAGATCTGTGAAGCTTGATGTATAGATTTACTACAGAATCCAGGTCAGGAAAACAGCATGATCTTACTGCACTTGTAAACAAGGTGGCCAACATTAATAAATCTTAAAAAATGACAATTACCAACAGATCTGTAGCCCATAATGGCTATTCGTCTTTGCTTGGGGGGCATTTTGGTAGACCCTTTCCACTAAACCATCCGTTCAAAGTCAAGAAAACGGTAAAAAATAACTCAATATTGTCTGTGACTGGATTTTTGATGCCGGAAGTCGAACTCTTCCGTTGGAGGAAGACAAATTATTATTAACCTCTAAAATAATGTCTGAACATGTTCTTGTTTTATAACACACGGTTGTCCGAATAAATTAGATGATGTAAACATATATACGATTTACTGTTCCATATGGATAAGTTTTCTATGACAATTCCGTATTTTTACACTGGCGGCTCTTTGATTGAAAAACTCATGATTTTGGGGTTTAGAGATTATCAATAATGGCGCTCAACTCGAGTGTAGGCGCAGTGAATCTTCTCTTATTTATATTTTGCATGCTAACTTTTAAAGTTAGCATGCAACGTCAGGACTGGTTAAATGAGTGTCAAACAGCGATGCATAACGGTCAAAAAGGATGTAAGAATAACCGTTCTTTCCATAACAGTGTTATAAAACAAAGTTGTAGAGTTTACAGATTAGGTTAGAACCCGAGATTCTAGTCGACGCCCAAAGTTTCCAAATCATGTGAAATTGTTGTAGCAATTTTATACTTGCCGTCTAAATGTCAATCACGTGTCTGATAGGTCATGTTAGCTAGTGCATAATGTATACAGTAATCTTACAATGTCGATGTGTTATTTATCCACAATGAAACTAAAAGTAATCTTGGTCAGGCTCCGATCAGCAAACAATGTATCAAACCTGACGTCTCCCAAGCACTTCAGTGGGAGATCGAAATGAATCTTGATGAAAACGTCCATTATAATCCATGCAGACTATTTGTGTTGAATGCTGACTTTTGTTTGTAATTGCTTGGATACAAGTGTAGGCCTAAACCAATATGCATATGGGATACTTCATAAAAATCTTACATGTTTTGTGTCTGCATTTTGAGCAGCGTTAGAAATTGGCACTAGTCCTATAGTCTTTGCAAATCCGTCCAATAGTTAAGGTATCATAAGGACGAGTAGAAATTTGCCAATTTTAAGGGTTTTTCTATATGTTATCATTGTAAGGACCAGTTGACTATAACTGTTAGTTTCTACCCCTGTTGAGTGAGTGAGTTGGGTTTAACACCGCTTTTAACAGTATTCCAGTTATATCGTGGCTTGTCAGCTTAATGTGGGAGGAAAGCCTGAAGTGATGCAGGTCTCAGACATTAACCACTTCAGTGAAACCCACGGATATGGTCCTGACAATCCTAGAAACATAATATGCATTTTGAGAAGGACTATAATATTTGTTGTTTGATTGTTTGTTCAGGGATTTGTTTTTGTAGTCTTTTCCATTGATTAGCAATATTTTGGAATATGTACATCATACATGCAATATTATATATCAGAAATGTGTTATTGTAGTTAAACAACAAATCATCATTAGTATAAATTTAATAGGGAGTAGTGCACTTTACCGGGTGCTATTTTTCAGATCCAATTCGCACTGTGGGGGCTAATCTAATTAATGCGTTAATTAGCTGACGCTCTACAACTGGACCACTAGCACTATTACATGTAATCAGTGCTCGTTTAATGGGTCATTAGCACCTCATTAACAAGCATGCATAATTCAGAAAACAATGAATTTAATATTTATTTCCTAATGAACTTAATCTTATTTTCTGTGCAAAATCATCTCTCAGGGAAGAAAGGAATGTCAAGAGCACCTTTGCCGTATTTAGAAGAGATGTACGTGTGATAAATTGACAGTCATATGGATAGATCATTAGATGAATGCACAGTACAGACTGTCCTATGTGTAACCATTGTAAGAATAAGAAAAAAGCTTCTAATACTACATGTAAGATAAATGGATTTGCGAAGCTATCATCGCAAAACAAAAAATAATGAATTATGAATGCGAGTTTCTCAAGTTAAGGAACCTTTATCGTGCTGTCTCACAGAGTCTCTTTATGCATCCGTCTAAAATGTTCCTATGGCAGAGGCAATACGAGGGAATTTATTATTCTTAATGTAAATTGGTTTGGATAGTGTGCAAGTCTACTATCAGTGTTATTCTCCATTAAAAAATCTTTGTTGGAAACTCAAACTGAATCCTTTTCCAGAATGGTTTAGCACAGTACTTCAAATAGAACACTTACAGCATTATGAACAATGATAAAGAAATATTAGTTCAAACTCTACTCATCGTCATAAATCTGTTTTACTTTTTATCATTAGTCGAAATTTAGAAGTTCAAATAAATATTTTTAAAAAAATACTTATGAAAATGTGTAGATGAGATCCTGATGCTTATGAAATGGCATAATATATTCCAGGTTACGTGTTGGGAGAGCAAGATGCTAAACTTAATGTGGAGAAGAGTAAGAATGTATTGGAACAACGACTGTTTGTCTTCTGTCATCAAGGTTACAAAAAGGAGTGGTACAGACTCTGGCTGAATCCTAAGGTAAACTGAATCAGGGACCATATCACATGATCATGTCTTAGTATGATGGTTGACAAGATACATGATTTTCCTGTATACTGTTGAATATATGGAGTGAAACATGGTGCTCAACGAATAGGAGGCCTTCAACCATGTCAACTCTTCAGATGGTTTTGGAGCAGAGATAATGAGTTATTGCTTACCTACTAACACGAGCATGTTGAACTATTATCACTTCAAAACGTGTATTTAATTGCATTCATCTATATATTAGCAGAATTGAAATAAGAACTTTGTCTCAAAGTTATGTTTGTTATAAATTACATCTTTTGAAAAAGTAGGTTTGTTCATAACAGCGGTGGTGATTCCAGATCCGAGTCCTGGAGTCTGAGCTGCACCAGGAGTTTAGTTTTGTGTATGGTGACAACTTTACCGACGTGAAGGAGCGCCACAAGTCCAGCTACTTCAGTCTGTGGAACTGGTGGAGAATTAAGGAAGAGTTCTCTTTCTTACCTTTCAATGTAAGCTGTCTTGGCATTGCCTCTGACAAGCATTACACGGTTGAGTTCAAAATAAAGAGTAAGTATGTTTTTTGTGAATAAAGTATTTTTAAATATCTTCCTAATCATCAGCTGTTTTGTCCTAGTGAATGTGAATATGGTGAATAATAGAAGGTTTTCCAACTGCATGAGGTGATTATTTATCTTTGGCACCATTCACTCGCTGTCTTATGAGTTATGTTTAGCAAGTTGCCAGAGCTTGCTATTTTTTAAAGTTATTTTCATGCTTCAGTTAGCAGGTTTAGCTGTGAAGCCACAGATGGCTGAGAGACCTGTGAGGAGCCATGTCTCGCTTATACAGAGTTGCCTCCCTTATCTATTTCAGGCCCAGGCTCCTTCCCAGAGCCTGACTCTTTGTTACCCTCCCATTGTGATCACTGCCCCCATTGTGCAAAAGGCCATTACAAGAATCTTGAAATTTACCCCAAAACCCCTAATGTAGTGACATTTATATGTGTGTGTATGTCTTTGGGAATGCTGTTATTGTTAATTGGGAAAGGCTTTTTAATTTTAAGACTAAGTTTATATTTCACAGATGAATTTCACTTCGTTTAATCAGATTGGTTTAACATGTTTAAGATTGCAGACTAATGGAAAATCACTTAACTTCTTCCATTCATTCTCACTATATTATTTACATGATAGTTGAAATGAAATAGAACTTCAAATTGACAAACCAAACAATTTAGCTGAGGGAAGTGGTTTCAGCATCACAATAATCATTGCTTGTTTGTAAACATAACCATGATATGGGATGGATAACTCGGGTACAAGGGTTGGGAGGGTCCTGAGAAATACCCGGGTACCCACAGGACTACCTGGACCTGTGGTTTGTCAAGTGATATCTTGTACAATGACAATAACAATCAAACTCCACGGTTAAACTTTAAGTGAGTGAGTGTTGTTTTACGCTGCTTTTAGCAATATTTCAGCAATATTACAGCGGGGTACACCAGAATTGGGCTTTTACTCATGTGGGGAATCGAACCCAGGTCTTCGGTGTGACGACCGAACCCTTTAACCACTAGGCTACGCAATCGCCCCTACACTTTGAGTGACTAATGTTTGCATTGCACACATTCCTTCTGACTTTCAGGTTTGAGTTAAGATAACACTGCAGTCAACTTCGGTGTATGCATGATCAGATCATTTTATACATGTATCTGAATAGGTTTTGCCAAGGCTCTAATAAGACAATTCCCAATCAGACAATTTGTACACAACTCTTTAGACCTACAGCGGGTACCTGGGTAGGGTCAAATAATAGGGGGTCTGTTACTGTGAAGATCATCTTGTAAGCCAGGATCCACAGTTTGCAGGTTCAATTCCCATTTATATCTCAGTAATGATCCTGAGTTTGTTAGCACCAAACCGTGCTTGTGGGTTTTAACATGTACCTTATGACGTGATGAATTCTGACTGAAATACTGTTCGACGCTGTGTTAGACCCAAATCACTCACTCACTATGCAGTGACCTTGAGTCATCTAAATGATGTTAACAAAGGTTTTGGGGTCTAATTTTCCTTTTTCTACAATGCAGATCCTGAATTATGGTTTGTCTTCTTTGTTGGCCTTGGCGTTGTCATCTTCTTCTATGCCAAATCCTGGAGCAGGTAATGTGCAGTGTTATCAACATCATGATGAACTTGATAAAACTTGTAACATGTTGCAATGAATACTTTCCATTACATCACATTGGGGGCATGGGTGGCCTTGTCGTCTAAGGCGCTGCCATTCGCTGTGCAGAGTTGCATCCTTGGACACTAGGGGTGAAACAATGCTCTGGTGCATCATGAATTTTCATGCGATGATCTATGCAGGATATATTTTTTCCTGTGTCGATACAAGAAGATACACTTTCTTAAATATATTACTTACTACTTGTTTAATGACACCCATCTCCCAGTCCAGCATTTTTGTAAGTAAAATATGGTAAAATGTGTTGTAATTGTCTTTTCAATTCACTATTAAAGATGGCTGCTACAAAAATGTCTCTACAGCTAGCTTTTCCTTTGGAACCTACTCTGAAATATTTATCAAGAAGTTTCCACGTGATTTGACGTAAATATGCGTATTGCGATATAAGTATCATATCCTGACGTGTGTATTGTGATACATATTGTATCGTGATTGTACCCCTATTTGACATGTCATAAACCTATGATTGTGGGTTTGAATTCCAGTTGCCTTGAGACATGTTTTAGGTTTGTCAGCACCATACCCATACTTGTGGATCTCAGAGCAGTCGTGAATGTTGGAGACTTGCATCACTTCGGTTTTTAAGCATTAAGCAGACATGCCGAGATGTGACTTGAATACTGTTCAAAGCAGCGTTAAACCCAACTCACTCACTCACTCACTCATATTTTCCTCATCTGCATCGTTTCATATTGGCCAAGAAGTTATGAAGATTTTTTTATAATAAATTCATTACTCACTCGCTCACTACAACAGGATATCACTAAAAGGTTTTCCTTTCAATGGCGGACCGCCTCCGTGGTCTAGTGGTAGAGCGTCCGCCCAGAGAGCGGAATGTTCGGGGTTCGATCCCCGGCGGCGTCATACCAAAAGACGTTAAAAGATGGTACTTGTTGTTACCCTGTCTGGTGCTCGGCATAAAGGGGCTAAAACCAGGACTGGTCCACTAAGAGTCAGTATACTGTGTCTGAGTGGGGTATTCATGTTAAACTGCAGCATGGTATCTCAGTGAGCTAGCACTATAAATCAGCATTAGTCCGAACTAGTACAAGCAGACACACACACACACACACACACACACACACACACACACACACACACATGCACCCCGCTATAAGTGCAATGATCTTGGATGCGACGTTAAACCCATGCTCGATTCTGCATTATACCAACACCAGTTGTACAAAAATAATAATTGTTCTTTTCAATGCCTTACCTTCCATAATGCTATGCTATTGGATTTGTTCAAGCCGTTAATGAGTCTTGTTCATTAAGTAATGTACAGAGTAGTCATTGTGCACTGTTGTGGTCTCATACTTGTTTTAAGAATGTAAATGTATCTCTTTTTGTAATTTCCAGAAATGTGGCCCTTCACTATGGTACTGGTATATCAGTGGGCGTGTTTGCCTCACTTCTCATCATTGTCTTCATCCTTAACAGATTTATGCCACAGGTAGGTGTGCCAGATGATAGTCAGTCTCAATACTGGCCAGACAAGCTTGGTAGTCAAAACAGTACTGGCTAGACAGGCTTGGTAGTCAAAATAGTACAGGCCAGACAGGCTTGGTAGTCATAAAAGTACTAGCTAGACAATACAGACTGGACAGACTTGGTAGTCACAATAGTGCTGGCTAGACAGGGTTGGTAGTCATGTTGGTACAGGCAAGACAGACTTGGTAGTCAAAACAGTACAGGCCAGACAGGCTTGCTAGTCATGATAGTACAGGCCAGATAGGCTTGCTAGTCAAAATAGTACAGGCCAGATAGACTTGCTAGTCAAGATAGTACTGGCTAGACAGGCTTGGTAGTCAAAACAGTACTGGCTAGACAGGCTTGGTAGTCAAAACAATACGCTTGGTAGTCAAAACAATACAGGCGAGACAGGCTTGGTAGTCAAAACAATACAGGCGAGACAGGCTTGGTAGTAAAAACAATACAGGCGAGACAGGCTTGGTAGTAAAAACAATACAGGCGAGACAGGCTTGGTAGTCAAAACAGAACAGGCCATACAGGCTTGGTATTAAAAACAATACGCTTGGTAGTCAAAACAATACAGGCGAGACAGGCTTGGAAGTAAAAACAATACAGGCGAGACAGGCTTGGTAGTCAAAACAGTACAGTCCAGATAGACTTGGTTGTCAAAACAGTACAGTCCAGATAGACTTGGTAGTCAAAACAGTACAGTCCAGATAGACTTGGTTGTCAAAACAGTACAGTCCAGATAGACTTGGTAGTCAAAACAGTACAGGCCATACAGGCTTGGTAGTCAAAACAGTACAGTCCAGATAGACTTGGTAGTCAAAACAGTACAGGCCATACAGGCTTGGTAGTCAAAACAGTACAGTCCAGATAGACTTGGTAGTCAAAACAGTACAGGCCAGATAGACTTGGTAGTCAAAACAGTACAGGCCATACAGGCTTGGTAGTCAAAACAGTACAGTCCAGATAGACTTTGTAGTCAAAACAGTACAGGCCATACAGGCTTGGTAGTCAAAACAGTACAGGCCAGATAGACTTGGTAGTCAAAACAGTACAGTCCAGATAGACTTGGTAGTCAAAACAGTACAGGCCATACAGGCTTGGTAGTCAAAACAGTACAGTCCAGATAGACTTGGTAGTCAAAACAGTACAGTCCAGATAGACTTGGTTGTCAAAACAGTACAGTCCAGATAGACTTGGTAGTCAAAACAGTACAGTCCAGATAGACTTGGTTGTCAAAACAGTACAGTCCAGATAGACTTGGTAGTCAAAACAGTACAGGCCATACAGGCTTGGTAGTCAAAACAGTACAGTCCAGATAGACTTGGTAGTCAAAACAGTACAGGCCATACAGGCTTGGTAGTCAAAACAGTACAGTCCAGATAGACTTGGTAGTCAAAACAGTACAGGCCAGATAGACTTGGTAGTCAAAACAGTACAGGCCATACAGGCTTGGTAGTCAAAACAGTACAGTCCAGATAGACTTGGTAGTCAAAACAGTACAGGCCAGATAGACTTGGTAGTCAAAACAGTACAGGCCAGATAGACTTGGTAGTCAAAACAGTACAGGCCATACAGGCTTGGTAGTCAAAACAGTACAGTCCAGATAGACTTGGTAGTCAAAACAGTACAGGCCATACAGGCTTGGTAGTCAAAACAGTACAGTCCAGATAGACTTGGTAGTCAAAACAGTACAGGCCATACAGGCTTGGTAGTCAAAACAGTACAGGCCAGATAGACTTGGTAGTCAAAACAGTACAGGCCAGATAGACTTGGCAACTGATTATATAAGTCCAGTTTCCACCCTTGCCGAACTAGGCTGGTATTATGGAGTTACATTTTCGCTGGACTAACGAGCCTATGCATAGTCCACTGACTATGCATTGCGCACCGAAATAGAAACCCGTCGTGCAGATTTCGATCCATTGCAAAGCATGTGCACCACCAACTCGTTGTCAGCAGATATTTTCCAAATCCTTTCATGTTTTTAATCAAGGTGCTCACGTGATTTGATGCATTTCACGATGTAAGACCTGTTGTATCACAATATAGATCTTGATTATCGATCAGATCGTCCTGACTGGGCGCCACCATTTTGTGCGAAGCAAACGCAAGTGATACGATAGGTGGAATCTGATTGGTCCATAGGAGAGGCTTAGAAGGGACATAACTGGTAATAGCCGCTGGTGGCGCTACGATCGAGCCCAGTAATTCCAGCCTAGTTCGGCAAGGGTGGAAACTGGACTTTTAAAGTCAGTTAACTCTCTTGCCTCAGGAAGATGGAAGAGTGAAGAACTATTTTCATAGAAGTCTACATTGAGAAACAGGCATTCATTTATTGAATATTATGTCCCAGTCTTCAAATCTATGACATTTCAATTTTCTTCTATATTTTCGCAAAAACCAAGAGGACCAGAAAGGAGGAATTTTGAACATGTGATCATGATGATGACCCCATGTAATTTCAGGTTTCTCTATGGCATCAGGGGCGGTCGGGTAGGCTAGTGGTTAAAGCGTTCGCTCGTCACGCCGAAGACCCGGGTTCGATTCCCGACATGGGTACAATGTGTGAAGCCCATTTCTGGTGTCCCCCGCAGTGATATTCCTGGAATATTGCTAAAAGTGGCGTAAAACCATACTCACTCACTCACTCACTCACTCACTCAAGGCATCATGATCGGCAACCAATTTGGGACTTAAAAATATGTTCATTTCTCCAGAACTATTTGAACGATTCAGCTAAAATGCTTTGTATTTGTTTCAGAGATTAAAGACCTTAGGGTATGGAGTCATGCTAGTGAGTGGATCAGCCTCTATGTTCATCCTTCAGAAAGTGTCCCACAAATTCAATGATATCCTACAGAATCACTGGCACATTGCCCTGGGTTATGTCTTAGCCACAGGGCTTGTGAGCTTCGCAGTCGTGTACAGATACGGCCCTATCAAAGATCCAAGGTCTCTCAACTTGGTGACGTGGACATTGCAGCTTGTTGGACTATGGTTTATATACATTGGGACACAGATTCCAGAAGCATCAATTGCAATCATGATCATTGTGCTGTCTGTGTATAAGTTCCCCAGGAGAATTGTCACAGGATTCACATCATTTAGGTAAGTCTTGCAGTAGCTTCACATATGTCCCTGTTTCCTGTCAAAGTAAACTTGTTCTTGTTGATTATTTTTCTTTTGTTGATGGTTGATATTTTGTGTGATATGGAGGACCTTTTGTTCTTATGTGTTAGAAGAAAACTCTTAAACTATTAACTCCTGGGGATTGTCTAATGCAGTCTGTATTATTTTGTGTTTCCAATATCCCTCCTGCCCTGAATTTTCCATCTTCCTGAGGCAAGGGAGTCAACTGACTCCAAAATTCCAGCTTCCACCCGTGCCGTACTAAGCTGGAATTTCCAGGCTTGATGGTAGTGCCACCCGTGGCTATTACGAGTTATGCCCTTTTATGTCCCTCTTTATTGACCAATCAGATTCCACCTCTTATATCATTTGCATTTGCTTCGAACAAAATGGCACGTCCAGTCAAGACGATCTGATCGATGATCAAGATCAAAATTGTAATAAAGGGTCTTACCTCGTGAAGTGCATCAAATCATGTGAGCATCTTCATTAACACATGAAAAGTTTTTAAAATAGAGGCGATAGAAACAAACTGTTTTAGTCCACTAGTCCACTAGTCCTTTTAATGATAATGTATAGCAATACCCTTAAAATGGCACATTTCTACAAGTCCTTATCATGCTTATAATACCCGGTACCCTAACTGTTGGGCAGTTTGGCAAGGACTACAGGACTAGGGCCAATTTTTAACGCTGATATCTGTCAACGCCCAGTTGACGGTATATTTCTTTGCAACTCCTGCCAAAAAAAAATTCCAGCCAAAATATAACTCCATTATTCCAGCCTAGGTTCCGGCAAGGGTGGAAACTGGACTTTTACAGACAGTTAACTCCCTTACCTCGGGAAGATGGAATTTTCATTCTCACATCAAAAAAGTTTTTTGGTCTCAATTTTCCCTGCCCTTGTGGAAATTGATGCCCTCATGTGACAAGAATAACACTCCCAGCATAACCAGCCGTGAAATCCCAAGAGGAATGTCTGCCCTATAGTAGACCAACCTCACGGGACCACCACTAAATATTCATCAGTGCATTATCAAGGTTTGTTGTTTTATTGGATCACCTCTGACCACAGGTTCACTCCTTCAATCACAGTCGAGACACATACTGTCCCTACACTCACTCACACCCTAGCCAACCACAGTAAAGCACTATTGATAGCAAACACACCACTCATTCCAATGACAATCGATCTATGTGGCTGTAAACAAAAGACAGAACACCAAATTAAACTCATGACGCATCTTTATTCACTAAAGTATTCGTACAACCACAAAACTTCATTCTATACCAGCAGTATTCCAAACGGTACATGTCATCACTTCACCGCTGATACGATGGGTTCCCACCACTGGTCCACAGCTGGTCCATGGGTACATGCGCCCAAGAGACCCTGGGGTCTGTCCACTGGTCCACAGCTGGTCCATGGGTACATGCGCCCAAGCGACCCTGGGGTCTGTCCACAGGTCCACAGCTGGTCCATGGGTACATGCGCCCCAGCGACCCTGGGTTCTGTCCACAGGTCCACAGCTGGTCCATGGGTACATGCGCCCAAGCGACCCTGGGGTCTGTCCACTGGTCCACAGCTGGTCCATGGGTACATGCGCCCCAGCGACCCTGGAGTCTGTCCACTGGTCCACAGCTGGTCCATGGGTACATGCGCCCAAGCGACCCTGGGGTCTGTCCACTGGTCCACAGCTGGTCCATGGGTACATGCGCCCAAGTGACCCTGGGTTCTGTCCACAGGTCCACAGCTGGTCCATGGGTACATGCGCCCAAGCGACCCTGGGGTCTGTCCACAGGTCCACAGCTGGTCCATGGGTACATGCGCCCCAGCGACCCTGGAGTCTGTCCACAGGTCCACAGCTGGTCCATGGGTACATGCGCCCAAGCGACCCTGGGATCTGTCCACTGGTCCACAGCTGGTCCATGGGTACATGCGCCCAAGCGACTCTGGGGTCTGTCCACTGGTCCACAGCTGGTCCATGGGTACATGCGCCCAAACGACCTTGGAGTCTGTCCACTGGTCCACAGCTGGTCCATGGGTACATGCGCCCAAACGACCCTGGAGTCTGTCCACTGGTCCACAGCTGGTCCATGGGTACATGCTCCCAAGCGACCCTGGAGTCTGTCCACTGGTCCACAGCTGGTCCATGGGTACATGCGCCCAAGCGACCCTTGAGTCTGTCCACTGGTCCACAGCTGGTCCATGGGTACATGCGCCCAAGCGACCCTGGAGTCTGTCCACTGGTCCACAGCTGGTCCATGGGTACATGCGCCCAAGCGACCCTGGGGTCTGTCCACTGGTTCACAGCTGGTCCATGGGTACATGCGCCCAAGCGACCCTGGGGTCTGTCCACTGGTTCACAGCTGGTCCATGGGTACATGCGCCCAAGCGACCCTGGGGTCTGTCCACTGGTCCACAGCTGGTCCATGGGTACATGCGCCCAAGCGACCCTGGGGTCTGTCCACTGGTCCACAGCTGGTCCATGGGTACATGCGCCCAAGCGACCCTGGAGTCTGTCCACTCGTCCACAGCTGGTCCATGGGTACATGCGCCCAAGTGACCCTGGGTTCTGTCCACAGGTCCACAGCTGGTCCATGGGTACATGCGCCCAAGCGACCCTGGGGTCTGTCCACTCGTCCACAGCTGGTCCATGGGTACATGCGCCCAAGCGACCCTGGAGTCTGTCCACTGGTCCACAGCTGGTCCATGGGTACATGGGTACATGCGCCCAAGCGACCCTGGGGTCTGTCCACTGGTTCACAGCTGGTCCATGGGTACATGCGCCCAAGCGACCCTGGAGTCTGTCCACTGGTCCACAGCTGGTCCATGGGTACATGCGCCCAAGCGACCCTGGTGTCTGTCCACTGGTCCACTGGCTCACCGAAAACTATCAACCACCAGTTAAATTACTACCGGTGTGCCAATACGGGACCACTGGTAATATACATGTATAAAAGGAGGATCCTAACCTAACCACATCAGTCCGGCGAGAGCACCAAGCTCGAAGCTAGTGTCTGATAATTTAGAGATTACCTTCAGCATGTTTAGGTGTGATCCCACACTTAATTGCAGGGATGTGAAATCTCCGCGGAAACGCAGAAAATCGGGTTTTTTATAACAGTAGTCCTCGTAAAAATATAATCAAAGATTTTTAAAAAATACTACGAAAAATATTATCATGTTTCTGGACAACCATCGCGGATTGTCCTGTTTTTGATCAGAGCTTTTTAGCATTATAATATGCCTTTATTATTATTCATGACACAATACTTTTATCGTTGAATCATAGGTTTTCGGACATCATAGGTTTTCTATCACGTGGGGGCTGGCATCACACAGAAATTGTAAATACTCAGAAGATGGCTTGTTTTTAAGATAAAGTTGTCTTTTAGTCTATAAGTGAATGTGACCCCCCAACAGTTCTCCTCTTTTTGGGGAAAACCTGCTCACACCCCCTAATTGTATCCTTAAGCTTCATATATATCGATAATAGCCATGATAGCCAAGTCCCTTCCACTCATTTACCCACCTGAACTAGAAATAAAGGAGATCAGTGAAACCACCTCATCTGTGTCATGATCAGATATATCCATGACAAATGTTGCCTCAATACTGCATGACAATAGGGATGACTTCCACTTTCAAATAGTCAGCTCTCCCTTTATCATGTTTATCATCTTATGACTCAGGCGCATACCGTATTCGACGTAATAAGCGCCAAGGGCGATCTCAAAATTAGAAATAGGGGGCTCTTATTAGAATATTATTTTAGTGGAGAAAAAAAGCAGAGTTAAAAGATAAATTTCATGGTTTATGCTGACAGCCTGAAATGTTTATGTACGACAGATATATTTTCCCAGAATTTAATTGCCCATAATTAAGTGTGCATATAACACACTAGTGCGTATTAAACGCGAATAAATAAGTCTTGTGTACATTGATCAATCGGAAGGGGTGCTAATTAGGATTGTTCACTGGCCAATATATTAGCAAATATCGCCGTGGGCGCTTATTAGAGCGGGGCGCTTATTACGTCGAATACGGTAAGTTGTTTGGTCAAGGTTACAACCTTCAAGGCCCCCGTGAAGCTTTCAGAAAGAGTTATGGTTGACATGTGGAGGACATTTCCAAGTTAAACCAAAGGTCACCTCACCACCATCATCTGGTATCATCATTATTTTATAGTAGTTCATTGCCACATGTTCATGATATAAATGGAATTGTACAATCGACTCAGCTTTTAGCAGGGATTTCTCATGCATATCTGAAGGGTTTTGTCGCTGGTTTTCAAATTAATATTGAATATATTTTGCCTTAATCCATTTATCACGATACTGAGGGCCGAGTTCAATGTTTTCTAAACTATGTGGTAGATATTTACAAGAACATTAAGAATGTGTGTTATTTCTGGGAGGGGAAATATTTAGGTTCGGGCCATCAGTACAACAACAAATTTGCGATACAAGTAACAAACTTTGTGCAGCATTATCTTTGCCTGTCAAATTAAAATCAATTCGTTTTTGGTTGTTATTTTTCCAAGGATGATTTTTTCAAACTTCACTCTCAAAACGGTGTAACAGAAATGCTAAATTAACTCATGTCTCAGAAATCACTGTCCACCAACTTCCCATGAGCTAAAGCCAAACAACTATTCTTTTGACGGTTACAGTCTTAGAGACGTATTAGCTTCAATACAATTCCAGGAATGTTAAAACTGGAGGTCTTGATCATATACAACGGAGCCTGACAATTACAGCATCACAAATACCCTGTACAGATTATAGTAGCTTCATGGGTTGATATTTATCTGTATCCATAATGCTACATGTATATGTGGTACTTACTTCATAACACAGAACTGATAACAAGTGATACAAGTGACAATGTTTACTGAGGCGAGGTGTTTTCTAGTGAGGCTGGACGGGATGAGAATCTAATAATTAATTTATTTTGGCCCTTGAAGGAATGTATTTGGTGAATTTAGAATCACAGGATTTAAATCTTGTACATTCATATGCAAACATTTGTTTTTCTCTTGTTATCCTCTTTTGTGTTCATTCACATAGGGGGATTCAAATACATACTTTACTATAAAACATTCCGTTGTTGTATATTTATGTATCTCTTAAGTTAGTTAAGCATTTTTATGCGTTTCCCCGTGAAGATCCGGGGTAGAATAGGTGTTCAGCTACCCCTGCTTGTTGATGTGACTAACAGATTGGGTTGTCAGGCTCCATGACTTGGTTGATGCATGTCATCATATCCCAGTTGAGTTTCCAGAGAATCCTCCTTGTAGGGCTGGGACGGGTAACTCAGGTACCTGGGTCGGGTGGGTGCTGAGTAGGACCCGGGTACCCACAGGACTACCCGGACCCGTGGTTAGTCACGTGATGTATTATTTAATGGCAAAAATTATCTAGTACTCTATGGTTACACTACAAGTCACTAATGTTCGCATTTCTTTCTGACTATGCACCCATTCCTTCTGATTTTTTATATGGTTGAATAAAGATATAACTTAATTCAACTTCAGTGTATGAATGACCAGATCATTTAATACATGTATCTAAATACGTTTGGCCAGGTCTATCCTAAAAATGTTCCCAATCGGACATTTTGAGACATCTCCTTAGACCTACATTGGGTACCCGGGTAGGGTCGGGTAATAGGGGGTTGGGTACCTAGGTAGTAAATTTGGACTCATCCCAGCCCTAACTCCTTGACATGTAAATGTGATGTTTGTTGTGCAGGTACAGGTTTTTCCGGCCGAAGATTCGCCTGCTGACAGAGGATGAGTTTATTATGCAGGGTCAGGTGGAAACAGAGAAAGCCCTGGAGGAACTACGGTCCTTCTGTCAGAGCCCGGAGTGTGATTCCTGGAGAGTCATCAGTCGCTTGAAACACCCGTCCAGGTAACCATGGTAACAGTGCTGACTGACATGGAAAGCAGTTTGATTGCCAAGTGACATAGAATCTAACAGGCTTGGAGGTTATGTGTTTCAAATTTAACTTAATAGAATGTACCAGACCAGAATAAGATTAAGTCACTGTGCCAGTGTATGCTATACATGGAAGGTTGTTTATCTAAGTTAAATGTCAAGTAACCATACAACTGTTGCCATGATAAGTGGCTCCACTGAAGGGCTTCTTCCTGTGGACATTTCCAGTTTTTTGTCCACAGAAAGACATTTGAGACAAGCCTGTGATTGCTTATCCCATGTATGTTTGTTTGATCTGGACATGTTAAGCCCAAGAACTTTCTTCTGAGTTTCTTGGTTACTAGGGGCGATCAGGTAGCCTAGTCGTTAAAGCCTTTGCTAATCACTCCAAAGACCCGGGTTCGATTCCCGACATGGGTACAATGTGTGAAGCCCATTTCTGGTGTCTCCTGCCATGACATTGCTGGAATATTGATAAAGGTGGTGTAAAACCATACTCACTCACTGCTAACAAAATTTGTATAGCATAATATTTGAATTATATTCTTCAAATATCTGAAGATTTAGAAAGTGTCTGAAAGGAGTGCCATTTTCACTTCTTCACATCCAACATGTCCACTGTCATTGGAGGAAAAGTTACATGTGTTAGTTAGTTTCTTTGAGACTGATGTCACAGTACTTTGTTACTTATCCTATCTTCCAATACCACTGAGATAGCTCAAGTCCCTCAATCAATAGCCAAACTCTTTATCATACTCCTCAGAGGTAAAAGACCCGTGAAGATTCCGGGGTAGAATAGGTCTTCAGCAACCCATGCTTGCCATAAAAGGCGACTGTGCTTGTCGTAAAAGGCGACTAACGGGATCTGGTGGTTAGGCTCACTGACTTGGTTGATGCATGTCATCAATCCCAATTGCGTGGATCAATGCTCATGATGTCAATCACTGGAATGACTGGTCCAGACTCGATTATTTTACAGACCGCCGTCATACAGCTTTTAATAGCTGCAGCGTAAAACAACCAACCAACCAACCAAATCACTTGTGTCAACAAGAAGGTAGGGGATTACTGGTAGTGCAGAAGCTGAGACATCAATTGTAGTTCTGTCACTGTCACACACTTTGAGTTTGACAGACTAGGATAGATGTTTAGGTCCTGTTCGTGCCATTACTTGGTATTTGAAATGGACAGACAGCAGAGTGTAGGCTCTTCATTTCGTACACTGCGGTGAGGAAGGAACTAGGCATGTATCCATATCCTGGTGGCTAGTTTATTCAATCCTTACAGGTTGTGATATAACTGGATATAGCTGCTAAGATCGGTACTCCCCAATACAGGTGCACAAAATCCAAGCAGTTTCGGCATTGATTGACACAAGCTTCATATTGGCATCAATAGACCACTTTTTCTTGTTTTTATGTCTGAGACTCTGTAAGGAGAGCAGATGCTCTTGGGTCTGAGCATGGCTGTTCCAGGAACCCCTGACTAAATGGTTTTGTCATTTTACTTCTGAGGAGTATGATAAAGGGTTTGGCTACTGATTGAGAAAAAAACTCACTGATAATATTGCCTTTGATATACCATATAAAAAGGAATTACCTATAAATTACTCATTTTAATTTTCGTGAATCAAGATTCCTGATACAGTCTGTTAATTGTGTTGAAGAGATGTACATTCTGAGAATACCTCAAGGATATATTTGTGGCTTGTGTTTCTAGATTTGCCAAGTTTGTGGAAGGAGATTCTCACATATCTGACTCAGAACTGTTGGATCATGATTCCGTGGATTACTTCTCCCCTCCATCTGACGATATCTCCGACGCTGAATCCGAGACAGACTTCCGTCTCAGCACTCCTTAACGACTGCCATCATTAGGAATGTGTAATATTTTCTGTATCAAACAGTGTGATCTATCATTTTGGGTCTGAGCACCTTCAGTCATGTAGAGGTCATACTGCTACAGTACATTTGAGTTACGGTGTATAATAGTCCCGAAGAATTGTGTATACAACCTTGTGTAGTCATGCGTTCAAAAGTAATGGTTTCCAGGGATTAATCTAGGTGTTCTTAGAGGCCGATATTTGACCCCAGGTCTACAGCAAACATCAGGACATATTTCCCAATCAATATTAAATCAGATCATTATGATAACTAATATTTCAGCCTTGCAAATGTGATCTTTTTTATTTCAATCAATAACAACAACAACAACAAAGAGAAAAGAATGAAATAACTTCATTGTACGTTATATCATTTGATGCAATGTTAAAGTAAGAAAATGAGGTCTTTAATAAATTTATATCTGCCAAAGGTCCTGTTTATAGATCCTAGATAAGTCCCTGGCATCTTACTTCTTACTATATCTTTCTGAAAGGTTGGTTATTTATCTTTTACTTTAAAGAACAAAAAGTTAGAAAGTTTGTTTGTATCATCATCATCGACATCATCATCATCATCATCATCATCATCATCATCATCATCATCACATTTTCAACTCTGATGACAGTGAGTGACTGGGAGTAGGGGAGACACAAGCTACCTTGAGAACATGATATACCTGGTGCTTACGATCCACCACCAAACACAGGTGAATCTGATCTCTTTGTTATCATGTCTAGTCAGACTTGTTATATGTCTTGATTTTCAGATTTCATTTTGAAAAATCCTGTTTGGAAGGTGAAAATTACAAATAATAACATTTAAGGACTTTTCATCTTCTTGAAAGGTTTTCTGAATATGTTACCTTGTTTGTCAAACCATTGTCATACTTCTTGCAGTTTAACATATTTTGTCCTCATTTTCTTTGAAATATTATATCTTTAGATGTTTTTCCCTCATGTTTCATTATGGGGCGTCAATGGATCTGTAAAGCAGTTTAAAACAAAGTATGGCCTCAGATTAAATGATCTTGCCAGTGAAATGACAATCAGTGTCAATCTTGTCACAGTTGATGTAGTTTTGAACACGTTTTCTTTTCATCATCATGTTTCAAATGGAAAGTGCTGTATGTTGCCATATGACCACTGAAGGAATCTTGGACACCATCAGTTACAGTGGACTGAATGATGCAGCCTTGTAGTGAGAAACTGTGTTATGTTTTGAAACGATTGTTATGTATATCTCACCATCGACTACAACAAGTTAGCTTTCATAACATTTATCAACCTCCATATTCATGATAGTTGCAGTGACCTAAAATTTTTGACTGACATTTTTGTCTCAGGGTAGTTGTTTGTAAAATGTGATGAGAGTTTTCAACTAATTTATGGCTGAAATCCTTCGTGGAATCAACCCCCACAGTCATGTGCTTCAGCAATAATATTTAAGTGTGTTTCTGCATGTCTATTGTAAGTAGAATGTATCTTCAAGTTTATCTTCATATGCCATGAACTGTTTTACATAAATTAGAATATTTATCATGATATGAATATACTTATCCTGATACAAATATTTTGCAAAGTCCCTCGCATTCACTCCCATAACACAGGATCCAAAACGTGCTTCTCCAACAGGGGGTGCTCTCCATCAGGTTACCTCCCTTGAACCTCCTCAAACCTGAAGTCCACTAAACATCGTCTGACAGTGGAAGGACGGGCGGGTCTTAGAGCTGTTGTATCTGTATAAATATTCTAATTAATTCAAATTATATCTCCTCATACAAAATATTGCAAACGTATCCCAGAACTGGCATTATCGTTACATGGACTAGACTTTGTCTTCTCGTGCACCTGATCTACACTTATCCCATACCACCTGTACTGTCTCATCCGTACTCTAACATGCAATGCTAGGCTCAGTGATTGAATACCTGTATGGTACATGATACATGACACCCAGAGAATTAGGACTTTAAATTTTAGCAAATCACAAGAAAAGCCCAACAATCCCTCATAATATTTTTTGTGACATCAGACATATATATGGTCAATCGACCTAACTCACCCCTTTCTGTAATGGTTAACCAACTGTTGTTTTCAGAGACAGTCAGATACAGCATATGCAAAAATACACACAAAGAATAAAATCTGTAGGCATTATCATCAAATATTCCAAGAAAGAATTGTCCAGATATTACACTATAACAAATCTCTCTTGTTAAAAATAAATAATTCAGCCTTGGAAACATGAGATAAAGATCAATGAGAAGGAAAGTGAGGGTTCGAGGGGAGGCAACTCTGATGAGTAAGCTGGTGAAGAGCATCCTGTGTCAGGCATGTTTTGGGCTTGGTCTTATAGTATTGAAGAGGGAGGGAATTTGGAGTTTTTGGTATCAGGAGAAGAAATAATTAATGGTTTGAATGAAGTCAACCTGCACATATTGATAATGATGGCGTCAGAATTCGGTTTCTGTTTCATCAGATGCATGTGTTCCTTGATTTGGCAGAACCCCCCTCACATCATTTGTACAATGTATATCTTATTTTTAAGAAAAAGATCATAAAAATTATATGTTTTCATATTTTCGTGTGATTTTTGTGAGTGGTAAATCAAAGCAAGTGGTGAACATGGTAAGGTAAAAAGAAACGTTTTCTCATCAAAGCTAGAAAATAGTGGTCTGGTCTTTTTTATGTGCTACCCTTGTGCCAAAATATCCTTTTCACCTGAAAGCAGAAATATTTGTCTGTCATGCAGGAATGTTTGTTATAACTCGATTGTATGCTTTTCAGTTTGTGCAAGTTTTGTTTAGTCACCCCCAAACCCATCAATAATAAATGATGTCCATTCCCTAATACGGAAACTATTACCGGTACCATGTGAATATGACACATCTATCATCAGTGTTTTAATTGTTTTAGTCATGGATTAGATTGGTTTTGTATTGCCTGTGATTCTCAGATTGAGTTATTAGCAGTTCATGCCTCAGTGGATCAGTTTATGATATTGCAATGTTTCAATGGTTTATTCTACTGACAAAAATCATATTGACCAAGCCCACAGACACCGGTGAAAATACCATTGTGTGTGATTAACTACTCAAAAGGAGTTCAAGAACGCTGATATTCTTTCATATTACACAGACTGTGGTTAACCTGTCATGGCATGACAGATCAACTGTAGTAATGGGAAAACATTGGGTGATGTTTAACTGCTTTTGAGTAGTATATATCACTACTTTGACTAAGACAATCTGTGAGTTATGAGATTTTTGCAACAGTTTTGCATTTAGCTTGATGTGTTTGGGCTATGTCCTGGTACTTAAACAGCCTACAACTGTAATGAATTGATTGATAGGCACTACTTGGAACTTGACATTTAGGTATGGATCCTTATACTGTTGGCAAGCAAGGCCTGTATGGGAATCACGCTGGTAGAGCCAGCAACAGTGTTTTAGTTTATGGTTTTAAGACAACTGATCTAATTTCTATTTTGGAATGTCCTTGATGTGAAAGGTTTTTCTGACCTGAATTCATGGCACAGTGTTATTTTCGTTCATTGTCTGATGTATATATTTTCAACAACTGAAATCTGGAGTCTGAAGTCACAAGGCCAGTGAAGCCAGTGAAGCTGAAACAAAGATATAACCATCCGCATGGATTTGAATGCATCCGATGAGCAACTTAATGTTTACATCAGTTGGAGTGTTGTATTTATTATTGTATTTATTATTTTAGCAGTGGTGACAAGACAGTTTACGCATACACTTCTCATCCCCTGCAGATATTATAATGTCATTTGGACTATCTTCGTGTAAGTAAGTTTGTAAGCTCATGACGTATATTGTGTATCTCAATTTTGGGTCCTGCTGCCAGTTTTGAAAGGGTCTGTCATTTGTTCGTCATTGTTCACCGTTTCAGCAGACATTAGAGTTAGATTGTACATGGCAAGTGGGTGTGGATTTCAACATACTGACTGTATTTGCCATGTTAAGCACCATGCTCCAATAATCTTTATGCCCTACTAAAACACTGAAACTTTAAATGACAATCCAAATATCCTTGTTTATATGACATTTTCTTAAGTTGGTTGGTTGGTTGGTTTGTTGTTTAATGCCGCACTCAGCAATATTCCAGCAATAATCAAGTCTGGGCCAGACAATCCAGTGATTAATATCATTATTATTAGTCGCCTTTTACGACAAGCATGGGTTTTTGAAGACCCACCCACCCCGGAATCGTCACGGGCCCATTTTCTTAAGAGAACAGCCACACAGAAGGGGTATATGATTGCCTTGTAACTATGATTTGATTGATATTCGAACACCGATTGTCCACTATCGCTCAATTTCTGAAAACAAATTTGAGTTGATTTGATCATGGTTTTAATAAGAACCCCATTTGTGAGTTTTCTGAGAGCCTGGGGTGGTTTATACATTGAATTGGTATGTACCATACTGGCATGCACTGAACCAGGATTATTTTAGTGTTTTGAATTAAATACTGGGCCCACAATTTAGGGTGTTAAACACCCCAGCAGCCATGTCATGTTGGACACAGTAGGTTGACAGATTGAACCAATGGGGACATCCAACCCAGGTCATGCGTGACAAGCAACCACGCTACCCAGAAGGCCACCTCTAACCATCTTGCTGCTGTTGCTAGGCTAACTGTGCTAAAATACTCCAAGGGTAATTATGCAAAACCTGTGTGCCTACTTTAGAAGTAGTTTTCTTTATTATTACGTGTTTCATGTTACTGTAATTTTTATATACACTCAAAACAAGCTAAAGAACACTCATGATTGCATGGCTGTGTTGCAATGGTGACCAACCATGAAAGAATAGCTATAGTCATGTGAAATTGGATGTTCTTTAAATTTGTTCAGTTGTATATTAATTACTTGCTGTTCAATGTTGAAAAGTTTCCTTGGGGCAATGAGTTGTTATTTCCATCCAGCATTTCAGATACTTTTCTCCTTTAATTTTTGGATATGAAAAGGCTGGGTAACTTTTCAATAGTGGCATGTAGCTTAGCCCTAAGTCCGGTTACTACAGGTACCTTCTGTATATCATACTATTGCCAGACTACATGTAGTCTGATTTCTAGTTTTATAGTTTTTCTTGTTCAGTATGCAAGGAGACAATATGGATATGTTACAAAGTGTGTTAGGGTTGATTTTTTTCTTTAATTATTTAAGAAATCCCTCATAAAATCCCCTAAAATAGAAATATAACAAAGAGAGGTTAAAAAATATTCTGAATCAATAGAGGTTATCCTGTGAGTGCATTTTGGGATGGTAGATATCCGGTATTACGAACAAATGTTGAATTTAGTGAGCCTCCTCACCATGATATAATGGAAACACTGTCCTCTTTGTCACATGTCATTCTTACATTCTAAGGTGGAAAATTCTCTCTCTCATAACTGTACATCACAAGTTCTGTGATTTGTGAATCGGACAACTGGTAATTTACATGTAGTTCCAACTGAAACGAAATGAAACAAAATAGAATTTATGATGTATTATCTATAGCAAAAGTCAACTATTTTTAGTTCAGGTAAAGACCCCAAACTGCAAAGGTCTACATGTACAGGTTGCTGTTTGTAAACACTTAAAGTAGTATCTGCTCATCTTTAATATAAACTGCATGTTTATACGTAATTGATTCCAGTGGATACAGTTTGTATCTATTAGCTTTATCCTACCAAGAAGCCTACCCATTATATGATGGGAAATTCTTTTTCTTTTTTATTACTTTTGAAAAAATAGGTGTTTATTGATTACTTGTGTATAAATGTATAAAGGGCAAAATCTACATGACCCGTTTTAACTGATACAATGTTATGGAAAATAATAACACCCCCCCCCCTCCCCCCCCTTCACCTTCATATGCTTGCATGTATTTACACAATTAGATCCGAAGAAGAACATTATGTCACTTTAGTTGCTGTATGGTTGAAATAATGCTGTTAAATTTTAACTCCCAATGTCGCTTTATGATCAAAGTACCTTGAATAACAAATAGTTTGTATTTGTATTTGAATCATGTTCAGGGATAAACGTTTCTTGGAACAGATCCTGTTTTTAATATCAGTGTGGAAAATATCATGAAGACATACCATTGTCAATAAATATTTTTTTACCAAATCTTGTGTTATTGTCCATTGTAGTATTGGTGTGTGGTTAAAATAACTCCAAAGTGTACACCAGTTTGCAGCAGGGAAACTAGAAACTGATCTTTAGTTGGTATTGTCACGTCAGTCACAGTTACCAGATCCGTCAACTGCTTGGTGAGTGAGTAGTTAGATTTGTCTTAAGGTCGCTTTAGAATTGTTTTTCAGTTTCTATCAGGATGCGAGAGGAAGCCCTGTGTGATCAGGTTGAAAACCCATGAACACAGGTGTGTTGCTGAGTCTGACAGACCTAGAAACTTCATCCGAGTGAATCTGGTAACGAACCCACAGTCATGTTTCTAGCTCACTAAAGGGAGGTAACTCTGCATAGCAAATTGTGGTGCCTGAGAGGAAGTGCCGCTGGTAAACCAGTATAGTGTATATATGATGTCTGCAACAAACTGGTGCAGATGAGTCACATGAGAAATACGCTGTGAATCCATTGGAGTAAGCGTCTGAATTCTGTTCACATTCTGGTATTCATACATATGCAAATATGCAGGGAATGGACATATTGGGGTGTCACTGAGCAACTGCTATTTGAATATGTAGTATTTTGTGTACTACAACATTTCACACTTGATGGCTTTATCGCTCAAGGTAGATGAGCACAGAATCTTTTAACTGACTAAATGGGACAAATCCTCAAAGCCTCCAGTCCTATTTACTGTAGTATTCATTTCTGTACAAGTTTAAAGAAAGTTCTTGTGTTTTATATCCATATCTCTAGAAAGTATCACTGACAAACAACACTCCATTCCTAAATTTTTAAAAAAAAAATGGAGCGTTCAAACAATAGAATGACGTCACAGATGTGTTTCAATTGTGATTGATGGCATATTGCGGGTGTCGGTCTATGGTGCCTATATGACTCATTTGTCAACAGTTGGGGCTTGGTCTTCACCAGCGAGTAACGAGCCAGCAATCACAACACTCCCTTTTATACCATTTAAGCCGTGGACTAATTAAACTCTGATTATAAGTGCCATTACGCTGATCGTTTGTTAGTTACAATAACACCACGATACAAGAACAGTGGCAACTGCTACGTGTGTGGCCTTTGGTTCCTTGATGACAAACACCGCCTCTGTAGTCTAGTGGGTAGAGTGTCTGCGGAACGGTGGGGGTTCGATCCCCAGCCACGTTCTACCGAAAGACGTTAAAATATGACTGGCTCGTTACTATCACAAACGCAGATACAAGACAAACCTACAAATTGGAATAGTTTATTGAATAAGCTAATTACAAGCTGGTAGAGCGAATAGGCACATTTAGGTTATAATCCCTTAACGCCGAGCGCTAAAAAAATATCTAAATACATAACGCCAATTGCACTATTTTGACAGGTCTCAATGACTCCATTCTTAATTGTAACCATTATGTGAACTATAGTCTAGTATTAAGGGACCAATCATATGATATTCGGGAGGGGGGATTACATCTTGTTCCCGAAAATTCTTGACGAAAATAACTATGCTTCTGCCTGTTGAAAACAACAACAAATTGTCTGCCACAAAAATTACGTTGTTGAAAGGTGTTAAGGAAGGCTAAAAAATCAGGCTCAGGTTTAAATAAAAAGAATAGCTGCTTTTGCAGCTGTAGCTGAAAAAAATATATAATCTCGATCCAAAACCCCAGCCCCTCCTACCCACAAGAACCTACTCATCACCCAACCACACATATAACAATGGAATGTATCCAAAACCCCAGCCCCTCCTACCCACAAGAACCTACTCATCACCCAACCACATATATAACAATGGAATGTATCCAAAACCCCAGCCCCTCCTACCCACAAGAACCTACTCATCACCCAACCACATATATAACAATGGAATGTATCCAAAACCCCAGCCCCTCCTACCCACAAGAACCTACTCATCACCCAACCACATATATAACAATGGAATGTATCCAAAACCCCAGCCCCTCCTACCCACAAGAACCTACTCATCACCCAACCACATATATAACAATGGAATGTATCCAAAACCCCAGCCCCTCCTACCCACAAGAACCTACTCATCACCCAACCACATATATAACAATGGAATGTATCCAAAACCCCAGCCCCTCCTACCCACAAGGACCTACTCATCACCCAACCACATATATAACAATGGAATGTATTCTCTGCAGAACACTACAATAAACCAGCAATATACAGTTTACAGACGTTCTGTGCATTGAAGCATAGCGTCAACAATTATATGTACACAAGGACCACGTCATTTCTGCATTTGCAAGAATCAAACGTTGGATCTGAAAAATTGGTGAAAAAACAAGTAACTATACAAAATACTATATAAACATGTCATCAGGTACACAGCTAAGTGTCTACAAAGACAAAGTTCATTGTGTGTATTCTTTTCGACCGTCTGCAGGACCAGATACAATGATGTGCCTGAAACAAGCAATATGATTTACGATCACAGATATGTTACATGAAAACATTCACAAATATGTCATCTCCTACCGTACATGTATAATTATGTTAAAGGGGGCTCACTTTCTACCGAGCGACGTGTTTTATAACTGGTGAAGGAAAAGCCGTGGCACGGGTGGTCCAGACCTAATGCAGAGTTGCGTCCCTTTGGCGTGTGATCTTGAGTTTGACTCCTAGTGAGTGAGTATGGGTTAACGCCGTTTTTAGCAATATTACAGCAATAACACGGCGGGGGACACCAGAAATGGGCTTCACACATTGTACACATTTCGGGAATCGAACCCGGGTCTTCGGCGTGACGCTCCAACGGTTTAACCACTTGGCTACCCGACCGCCCGTTTGACTCCTTGATTCGTCTTTTTATGTTTCTAGGTTAGCCAAGTCCCCACACGAGCTCATGGGTTTCACAAAACAGGTACACGTCTAAGACCTATATTACTTAGGGCTTTCCTACCACATCAAGATCCCACGTCCTGATATAACTGGAATACTGTCTGTTCAAAGCGGCGTCAAACTCAATTCACTCAGTCCCACATTAAGCTGACACGCCGTGACATAACTGCAACACTGTTCAAAGTGGCGTTAAAACCAGACTCCAATCGTTCTAGCATTAAGCTGACACCCCTGATGTAACGGATATACCACTGAAAGCGGCTGAAACCATTTCACCCACTCACTCCTTTTAATGAAATGCATTGTGTGTGCACGTTAATGACATGCTATGTGTAGGTATTGTTAGCGATAGCATAGTGAACATGTGTGACTATTGTGACAGGTCACGACATCATTTGACATTGTAGACAGCTTATTGGACGATTGCCTTAGTGTATAGATCGTACTGACTGCTGTGACATGGACTATAGGACGGGGCTGCGACCAGACAGTTGTTGTGAAGCTGCGAGGGATGTTCACGCATCATGTCACTGCCAGCAACATAAGGCAGCCTGTTGACTACCGTGTGACCTCATACAGTCATATACAGTGTGTGCATCTAGAATCAGTAGTATATGACTAAATAACACGAGACATTGTTATTAGTTTCATGTATTGTTGTTAGATAACATTCTCGCCGTGAATATCTGCAAAATTATTGATTCAGCGTTAAACAATACCCACTCACTCACTTAATGTAATGCCGTAAAAAAATGTATAAAAAAATAAGGGAAAAAAAAATGTAATGCCGTGGTCAAAAGATGAACTATTGCAGGATTGGGTGTAAATCAATATTCACCCGTGCATTTAATGCAATGGGCGTGTCAAGATGAATGTATATAGAAACATTGTGTTTACATTGAGAATGGGCTTATGTCGCATTTGGCATTGTTTCAATCCCATCTCGGAAACCAAGAATGGGCATCACACATTATATGCACTATAACACCCATGCTATCGTAATTATTTTGTAGTTATTTTTATTTGTTCATGTTGACTGGCTCGTTAACCCCTATTGTTCCATCTTTTTCATTGTTTGTGAAGCGGCATACAAATCACCACATTGTCGCAAAGAATTCAAAATGCTGGCATTCACTGTTTATGACGCCACAGACGTTACATGTGACGTCATTGCAACACTACCATGTCTGAGCTAATCTCTCCACTGGTAATCTGGAAACGTACATAATCTACGTTTTCTCCGAAAAATAACTTTGTGTAATATGTAGGAATATGTATATACGCAACTCGGATAATCTGTTCCTCGTGAAATAATGAAGTCCTCGCCAAGGCTCGGAAAATACACAATTCACTCGGGACAGATAAATCGTAATTCTTAATATCTAGTAGGTCATTCTCTGAAATTTACCCCATCGCCCTTGAAACCTCAAATTTCAGTTTCAAACTTCCTGTTTATGTATGTTACTGGTATGTCGCGAACAGCTGATGGTATAGAATTTAGTGCATTGTTCTGTATATTAATACACGATTTGGTGCATTGTTCTGTATATTAATACACGACCTAGTGCATTGTTCTGTATGTTAATACACGATTTAATGTATTGTTCTGCTTGTTAACACACGATATAGTGCACTGTTCTGTATGTTCACACATAATTTAGTGCATTGTTCTGTATATTAACACACGATTTAGTGCATTGTTCTGTTTGATTATACAAGATTTCGTGCATGATTGTGCATGTTAGTACAATATTTCGTGCATTATTGTGTGTGTGTTAACACACGATTTAGTGCATTGTTCTGTATGTTAATACACAATTTAGTTCATTGTTTTGTATGTTAATATACAGTGCATTGTTCTGTATGTTAATACATAATTTAGTGCATTGTTCTGTGTGTTGATGCATAATTTAGTGAATTGTTCTGTATGTTAATACATAATTTAGTGCATTGTTCTGTCTGTAAATACAAGCTTTAGTTCATTGTTCTGTGTGTTAATGCATAATTTATTGCATTGTTCTGTACGTTAATAGATAATTGAGTGCACTGTTCTTTCTGTAAGTACAAGCTTTAGTGCATTGTTCTGTATGTTAACACACGAGTTAGTGACATGTTCTGTATGTTAATACAAATTTAGTGCATTGTTCTGTCTGTAAATACAAGCTTTAGTGCAGTGTTCTGTATGTTAACACACAATTTAGTTCATTGTTCTGTATGTTAATACACAATTTAGTGCATTGTTCTGTATGTTAATACATACTTTAGTGCATTGTTCTGTCTGTAAATACAAGCTTTAGTGCATTGTTCTGTATGTTAATTCACAATCCAGTGCATTGTTCTGTACGTTAATACATAATTGAGTGCACTGTTCTTTCTGTAAGTACAAGCTTTAGTGCATTGTTCTGTATGTTAACACACGAGTTAGTGCATTGTTCTGTACGTTAATACACAATTTAGTGCATTGTTCTGTATGTTAATACAAGCTTTAGTGCATTGTTCTGTATGTTAATACAAGATTTAGTGCATTGTTCTGTATGTTAATACATAATTTAGTGCACCGTTCTTTCTGTAAGTACAAGCTTTAGTGCATTGTTCTGTATGTTAACACGCGAGTTTGTGCATTGTTCTGTGTGCTGATGCAAGACACGGAGATATTACAAGAGGCTGAATAGGAACGTGCTATCAACGAGAATGATGTTGATCCTGGTTATCTCTACTAGATTCAATACAAGAAGTAGCTATAGGCTGTGGCAGCTCCTTTGCAAAGTCGCAGCTGATAACGCCTTCTTAACTGATCTTAAAGATAACTGATCTTCTTCGAGAAATATACGGGGCACGGGTGTCTCACTCGTCCAATATACCTTAATTCCCTGTGCACACTTCCTCGCTTCGCCCTCCCTATTATTCTTGAAAGTCAGCATAATATACGTACTTGTTGGTTTCACCAATGTGGTAACACGTAAAATATATGTGTCGCTTTTGAAACGCCGTGATATAACTGAAACACTGTTCAAAGGGGCACAAAACCCACACACTCAGTCTTAAAGGTGATTTACATACCAGTAACCTTACCTAACTGTCATGCTTACTAGACTGATACGTAAAATTAAAACTTTCTTAAGTTTCTGTATTTCTTTCTGAATCTGATTTCATACATAACAACGATTGAAATACACTGATAGAAAGTATATGCTGACTAAAATTTCAAAGATCCCTTTTAAGAGTTTGTTCGACTTTCATAATGTCAATAGGTCATTAATTAATCCACCGGTAGACATTATAATCATCTAAAAATACTTGTGAAAATTCAGAATCTAAAAATGACAGGTCAATTTGCCATTGTCATTTTCATCAGTAGCATTCTAAACAGATGTGTCTATCATACTACTATAACAGGCAGTCTTAATGATGTGCATATTGGAGTTATCATGACCGATCAGCTGAGAATAAGTAAGAGCATCTCAGTCGAGTGCAAGCATGCCAAGTGAAGGAATGCGGTCCAAACCTGACAGCAGTAACAAAGGTTGTGGATCTGAAAATGTAATGTAAATGCCACATGTAATTATCAGCATGGTTCCTCCTTAGCTCATCTGGCAAATTTGTAAATTATGATTGACATTTGCTTTCCATACAATGCCTGATTGGTGACCCGAATCCGACAACCAAGCAATGTGGAAAATCAGTTGGCATTTCTATCTGATGATGATCAGCCATCGTCAGCCAAACATTACCTAGATGTTTTTTTACAGACATGTTTTGATTGAAGAGCTACATCTTTTAATGCCAACCCGAATAATTTTAGGACTTTTACCAACATAAATGACATTAATATAAAAGAACATTTCATTTCAGGAGTTTTTGGAATATTCTTTTTGCTCCACCCCCAACCGACATCTCTCTCATCACCAGCCTCCCGCACCCCCCCCCCCCCCCCCCCCCCCCCCACCCCCCACCCCCACCCCCCACCCCGGCGACTACCCGAAAGGCCTCCCGCACCATACACAGGCTAAAACATAATCCTTAATTCCATCACCGCTACAATAACTTTGATTGGTAAATAAGTGGACATATTTATTACGGTTCACCTTCTCAATTTCTAGGTTAGAATACGTCCTAGCATACTATGGTCTTAATGGATGTGATGGTCAGGCTCGGCGACTTGGTTGATTGCGTGTCAACTTAACTCGACGGCGTGGATCGTGCTCATAATATCAATCACTGGTTTGGACGGTCATGGCTCGATTATTTACCATCATATAGCTGGAATACAGCAAACAAACAGGACACTATGTTTAGATAAGCGAAAGTACGTACCTTTCTTCACTGTCCGGTTCTTTCTTGTCTGACACAGAGTGTGAGATGTTGTCGCTCGGCGTGCATGCCTTGATGCAGCACACGATGAAGATGATGAAACCGACGCAGGCAAACACGACGCCGAGGGTCGCCCATAGTTGAGCTCCTCTGAAACAAACCTTAATTTGTCAAATAAGTTATGTTTCACTGATCTTGACAGAATTCGACCCGTGAAGATCTGAGTTAGAATAGGTCTTCAGCAACCCATGCTTGCCGTAAAAGGCGACTATGCTTGTAGTAAGAGGCGACTAACGGGATCGGGTGGTCAGGCTCGCTGACTTGGTTGATGCATGTCATCGTATCCCAAATGCGTAGATCGATGCTCATGATGTCAATCACTGGATTGTCTGGTCCAGACTCGATTATTTACAGACCTCCGTCTAATAGCTGGAATATTGCTGAGTGCGGCGTTAAACAACAAACAAATATGAAAGATATTGCTGAGTGCGGCGTTAAACAACAAACAAATATGAAAGATATTGCCTAGTGCGGCGTTAAACAACAAACAAATACGAAAGATATTGCTGAGTGCGGCGTTAAACAACAAACAAACATGAAAGAATTCATAATTGTATTGTAACTGTAAAAGTCAGTGAGTTGGGTGAAACGTCTTTGAACAGTATTTCAGATTTCACGGACTGCAGCGTGATGAGGGGGAAAACCTCGAAATAATCCAGACGTGGGTGAAACCCACGAGTACAGGTATGGTGCTGACAAACCTAGAAACATAATCTGGAAGTAGAACCCACGATCACAGGATTCTGGCTCGTCTAAGGGACGCAACTCTGCGCATTTGACGACTGAGCAACCATTGCCCCAGGAACTACATATGTGAACGATGGCGATTGGTGGACATACCACATGCTGTTTATGTCAGTTACTTTGGTTGCATGTACTGGACACCCATCGTGTTCGTGACTACCATCACTTACCTTGCAGTTTAGGTGATGGGGAGCCGCATAATATTTATCCTGAATTCCAATATACCAGTAACTGAATTTATGATATCAATAAATTATCATTAATATCACGATATCGATTTCTAGATATACCGATTAGTGGTGTCATAACATGTAATTGGTGATTAGAATACATTGAATACATCGGTAATATTTCTTGACATAATCTGTATAATCGAATTTGTGATATAAAAATGCGTCATTTATTCACCTGTCAATTCTGTTTAAACATAGCAAAACCTACGCTCTGCCATATCATTTCCCGCCGGATGAGTCTAGGAAACAGTGTAAGAATGGTCTGTTGTTCTTAATCTAGGAACCACAATTTTACTAGTATATGTCTTTCTAGGAATCATTGTCCTAGGGTATCAGTTACTAGGAACCATTGTCCTAGGGTATCAGTTACTAGGAACCATTGTCCTAGGGTATCAGTTACTAGCAGCTATTGTCCTAGGGTATCAGTTACTAGCAACTGGGGGCGGTCGGGTTGCCAAGTGGTTAAAGCGTTCGCTCGTCACACCGAAGACCCGGGTTCGATCCCCGACATGGGTACAATGTGTGAAGCCCATTTCTGGTGTCCCCCGCCGTGATATTGCTGGAATATGCTAAAAGCGGCGTCAAACCATACTCACTCACTCACTCACTAGCAACTAATGTCCTAGGGCGTCGGGCTCTAGGAATCATTGTCCTAGGGCATCATTTACTAGCAACCATTGTCCTGGGATATCAGTTACTAGCAACCATTGTCCTAGGGCATCAGTTACTAGCAACCATTGTCCAAGGGCATCAGTTACTAGCAACCATTTTCCTGGGATATCAGTTACTAGCAACCATTGTCCTAGGGCATCAGTTACTAGCAACCATTGTCCTAGGGCATCAGTTACTAGCAACCATTGTCCAAGGGCATCAGTTACTAGGAATCATTGTCCTGGGATATCAGTTACTAGCAACCATTGTCCAAGGGCATTAGTTACTAGGAATCATTGTCCTAGGGCATCATTTACTAGCAACCATTGTCCTGGGATATCAGTTACTAGCAACCATTGTCCAAGGGCATCAGTAACTAGGAATCATTGTCCTAGGGCATCAGTTACTAGCAACCATTGTCCAAGGGCATCAGTTACTAGGAACCATTGTCCTTCGGCATCAGTTACTAGGAATCATTGCCCTACGGCATAGGTAACTGGGAATCATTTTCCTCGGGCGTTAGTCACTAGGAACCATTGTCCTAGGGCATCAGTTACTAGCAACCATTGTCCAAGGGCATCAGTTACTAGGAATCATTGTCCTGGGATATCAGTTACTAGCAACCATTGTCCAAGGGCATCAGTTACTAGGAATCATTGTCCTAGGGCATCATTTACTAGCAACCATTGTCCTGGGATATCAGTTACTAGCAACCATTGTCCAAGGGCATCAGTAACTAGGAATCATTGTCCTAGGGCATCAGTTACTAGGAACCATTGTCCTTCGGCATCAGTTACTAGGAATCATTGCCCTACGGCATCAGTTACTAGCAACCATTGTCCAAGGGCATCAGTAACTAGGAATCATTGTCCTAGGGCATCAGTTACTAGGAATCATTGCCCTACGGCATCAGTTACTAGGAATCATTGCCCTACGGCATAGGTAACTGGGAATCATTTTCCTCGGGCGTTAGTCACTAGGAACCATTGTCCTAGGGCATCATTTACTATGAACCATTGTCTTGTTGCAACAGTTACTAGTTACAGTTGTCCTAGGGCATAGGGAATGTTTGCGCTGAAGGATATGTGTGTGCGTGCGTGCGTGTGTGTGTGTGCGCGCGCGCGTGTGTGTGTGTGTGTACCTACCCGCCGCTGATGCCGCCTGTGTATCCAGTCACTGGTATCTTGTTGGTATTGGAACTGCCATGCGCAGTGGTCCGCCTCTTGAACCGAGCCACGTGGGGTGACCCATTGTCCGCCTCGGTCCGGTTCACCTCAACGTAAACAACTGAAGTAAACAAAGCCAGGCATAAACAGGGAATCGGGGAACATTCTCGATATACAGTTAATCAGTGATCCCTACAAATAGCGGAATTAATGACCAGAGCCATGTTTCACAAAGCGGTCTTGAACTACCATACTGCAACATAAATATAACAATCGTAGCGCTAAGCTCGCTTTGTGGAACAGGGCCCAGAAGAAGTATGAATAGACTAACATCTTGTCTCTGAAAATATATTAAAAATGAACCGAGAGACGTTCTTCATTTTCAGACCGATACTGCAGTAATCTAGACTTGCAAAATATTATAGACTTGCGTTGGCTATATTGGACATATTTGTTTCAGGGTCTGTATGACAGACTATAGTATGAATTAAACCCCTTATAAGGAATCATGGTGAGGGGTGACTGCCCATCTGAATATATTCCACGTCTATGTAGTTGTGGCCTAGATTGTGGGGTTTCAGAACTTACGGGCTTTATCGATTACATTGTGACACATTTGCGAAATATCGAAATTGTTTCAGTGGATTGATTATTTAATTTTCAGGCAACGGTTTTTGTTTTCATCTCGGACGATGGTTCGATCCCCGGTCGCGTCACACCAACGACATTGAAAGATGGTACTTGTTACCTTGCCTGGCGCTCGGCATTAAGGGTTTACATTAAGGACTGGTCAGCTTGGAGTCTGTATACTGGTTTGGTTTGGTTTGGTTTGTTGGTTAACGCCGCACTCAGCAATATTCCAGCCATATGACGGCGGTCTGTAAATAATCGAGTCTTGACCAGACAATCCAGTGATTGGCAACATGAGCATTTGGGACCGATGACATGCATCAACCAAGTCAGCGAGCCTGACGACCCGATCCCGTTAGCCGCCCCTTACGACAAGCATAGTCGCCTTTTACGGCAAGCATGGGTTGCTGAAGACCTATTCTAACCCGGATCTTCGCGGGCCGTCTGTATACTGACTAAGTTGGGTATACATGTTAAACAGTGGTATGGTACCTCAGTGGGCTTGCCCTACAGCTACAACACATAGGCACACACGCACACACACTTGAATCTTGAACGCGAAGTCACGCCCAATTTCATCGTCGTCGTCGTCATCATCATCATCATCATCATCATCATCATCATCATCATCATTATTATTATTATTATTATTAGTAGTAGTAGTAGTAGTATTTCTGACTACATTTTTTTATGAGTGTTTGTTACCCTACAGTGGTATGTTTGCCCCAACAGAAGCAGCACGTCTAATTATCGTTATGCAGCTCGTACAACTCATAACCCAGACACACTTATACTCAGTGTAGTAGATGGGATGGAATGTCGTTACGCTACAGTCTGACATTTCAGTGCCGGTCACAGAAATATTGTTTGTTGAAGGAAACCTGGACTATGTCGAATAACACACATATGTACAACACCTCCATAACAATCACAACAAGCTATCGGCGAGATATGGATGCACCCAATGATGTATTTGAAGCAACTATTTCTGTTAAAAATATGTTTGTCTGCTATGGACTCTCTGACCTTTATTAATTCAGTCGATAAGTCTAGCCTAATCAGTACAATACTCCCCAGGTATTGTTACCGTATTGTAACTAGTAACAACGACTACTATCCAAAACATGGTCCAACTGTTAGGGCGATTATTTTGAATAGACAACTCAGAATAATAGAAAATCCGTTTTTTTTACGAGGTAATCATGAATAACCTCCGTAACCATGGTTACATGTTGTCCTCCTGTAATGGACTACGTTTACGTAAAGGTCAAAGGGCACAGGTGACTCAGTGACAGGGTGCTGTGCAGAATGCCACCCATTGGGTGTACCAGGATCGGCGACCCGTGAAGATCCGGGGTAGAATTGGTCTTCAGCAACCCATGCTTGTCGTAAGAGGCGACTAACGGGATCCGGTGGTCAGGCACGCTGACTTGGTTGATGCATGTCATCGTATCCCAATTTCGTGGATCGATGCTCACGATATCAACCACTTGATTGTCTGGTCCAGACTGGAGTATTTACAAACCGCCGTCATATAGCTGGAATATTGCTGAGTGCAGCGTTAAACAAGTAAACAAACAAACAAACAAACAAACCGGGATCGGCTGGTCGTATGTTCGAGTCAATATTCACTCGATCAGTATCGTTGTCTGTAGCGGCCAATGTGTATGGCACCACGGGCTGTTCCCGTTATTGAGCGAATACGCCGTTAATTACCACCAAATGGGCATCTAAACTCACTCACTCGTTGTGAAGATAAGATGCACCACAAAGTGCACCTCTATCTACCTTTCCTTTTACGCTATTTCCTCCGATTCATCCAATCTCTCGGTAAGATCCGAAAACCGGAAAGCGCCCTCTGGCGGCATCTTGTTATATACCCCATTGGATAATATATATAAGAAAGTCTATCTTCCTACAACTGTTTACTTATTCACGAGTTTTGAATAACTAAGCCACGACCCGCTATTGTAGTATATAGACGACAGGGGGCGTCGTATCATGCAATGTCCTATACATCCACGTTAGAGCAAGCTTGGTCTTAATCCGCTACCATAAAAAAGAGACATCTTATATTGCACAGAAACAGCTCACGTCATTTACACGTTTGAAATAAGCGGACATACTTCAATAAAAATAATTTCTTTCCAATATGTCTGTAACAGATGTTTCCTTCTTGCTATCATGTCCATTTGTTCCCCGTATATGCAAAACTAAGCACATCAAACCAAGAATCGAGCCTCATTTAAGTACCGTTATGGATCAATGATTTGACTGATTTTATTGACATCGCTACGTAACATATGGCATATAAAGACGTGGACGCATGCTTCAAAATCAATGTTGATGAGAATAGGGCTTGCTGCATAGACTCAAACAGGCCCCTACCTGCCCTCCCACACGCAGGAATACAATGACCGACAGAATATTCTTACGGGAGTATAATTTGTACATTTTTACTGCCAGATCCGATTGAGGGTCAGTTCTGTCAGTTCAGTTTGTTCAATAGTACATATCAACAAAGGATTAATGTTCTCTACACGGATTTGTGCGAGTGCGTGCGTGCGTGCGTGCGTGCGTGTTTTTGACATACTAGAAAGTATATGGCATTATATTAAAGAAAACACATAATTGTTTTCACTTCGTTTTTTTCTATCTAAAAATTGATGCAAGTGCTTTCTAATTGGCTAACCAATTAAAATAAACAACGCCCACTAACGGATTATTGCTTCATGATTGGCTGATAAAATAATAGGCGGTGCTCTTATTGCATTATGGCGCTGAATGATGCCCCTGATTTTGCACTTTTGTCAATTTGCGTGTGTCAATAATTAAATAAGCAGTCTGTGAAGTTATTATTGTTGACATCTTTATTTAGAATTGATTTCAATTTGGTTTTGTGTTTATAGAGTTATATACTTATTATTGTTTAAAACCGATGTGCACAATTTGTGTAAATTCGCCTTGCTACGCGAGTGGCCTGGTCCTCGTTCCAAAAAGCGAACATAGAGCGAAGACGATAAAATAAAAGCGACAAAACTCTCATAAAAATATTTACCAAAAAGCAGGGTCGATTGTACAATTCTGATTATATCATGAGCATGTATATATGAATCACTATCAAATAGTGATGATACCAGGTGTTCGCGAAAAGGTGAGCGTATCCTGCCCCACCGGTGGCACCCGCCACAAACACATGCAAAGGCAAGTCAATTGTTCGCAGGAGAAAATCACGGGAACATGTGGTACAAGTCAAAATACGGAACCTTTTGAAAGCTTTACTGAGGCCTTGAATGTTGTAACTCAGATGATCAAACAACTTCTGATCAGGAGACGTATGACACTCTTTGAAATCTTGTTTAAAAGAGCATGCTCGATTGTATCTCAAACGTTGCGAAATGTAGACACCAAGCATTGAAGCTGCAGCAATATTGCTCGACATAAAGGGAAAGTTGACTTTTGGAAAGTTGAAGTCATCGAACGATATCAGATTATCGATCTATCTGAAGCTAAGGTTGAACTTCTTGGCCAAATTATTTTGTTTTGACTATGTCAATCCGAGCAGAAATTCTGATTCACATGCATAAAGAAACAGATCATCATGAAGGGAAGAGCAATGGGTACCCATGGGGATGCCTACTTCTTGCCTAAAGGTCTATGTTAAGGTGTGGGGGTTACGATCACCTTAGCGCTGAGATCGCTGCGTGGAACGGGAATCTTATAGTCTTGGGCCCCGTTCCACAAAGCGATCGTAGCGCTAAGATGATCGTAACTCCCATACTTTAACATAGACCTACGACAGACTTAGCGCTAAGATCGCTTTGTGGAACGGGGCCCTGGGTTCGAATACCAGATTCGCCCTCATTATGATTCTCAGTTGATTATCATCATACCCGTCCTGGTGGTTTTCACCTATTGGTAAAACTTAATATCACAGGCAACTATTTTTTTCATTTTTGATACCTCTTCATAATACACGTGAAACGTCATGGTAATAATTTCGGTTTTAAATTCATGATAACATATCTTTAATAAATTAAAAGGCATCATATCTACCTCACCAAATAAAACAGCAGGGTTTCCTCCAATGTATTTCCGTCACGTTATGATATTTCTTATTGTAGAAGGAGTTTTTTTTCAGGAAAAAAACACATGGGGGAAAGAGGAACAGGTGCCCAGTAGGGGTGTATCCCACACTTATCATAAGGTCCGACTGAAGAATATCATACTTTATGACTTGACTGACTGCGTGTCACCTTCACCCGATGATGTATGTAGATCGCTGCTCATGCGTTTAGCCACTGGGTTGTCTGGCACAGACTCTGTTATTGATAGACCACCGTCATATAACTATAGGATGCTGCGGACTGCGGCGTTAAACTACATGCATGCATCCACTCTCAGTTACAGGTAATGCTATTTCGAAGTATAAAAACAACCCCATACAGAAAGTGAAGATCAATTACTGTGTCATCCTACGGGCATTTGGACACAAACACAATCATGTATGAGTATAACCTTTCCTATCAACACAGGGGGTGTACACTAGGTTTATCTTTTCACATGTTGAGGTAAGTCAAGAAAAAAACATAGAGCTTACTTTGCTCAGTGAGATTATGGATCTTTTTATTTTTCCTTCTCCGTTACTTACTGTCAAAATCCACAAACGATGTTTTTTCATGGGGTATTTCACAAATCTTCTGAAATGTATAGGGCGGGGTGTGAAAAGGAAGAGCCTGGTCCCTTAGATTTGCGTAGTTTAGGAAATTAGGACTTGTTTGGTAAGATATGAACATAAGAATGCGAATTATAATCGTGTGTATGTCGTTAAGATGTGTACATACGGATGAGAATTATAATCGTTTGGATGTCGTTATAAGTGTGTACATACGAATGCGAATTATAATCGTTTGGATGTCGTTATAAGTGTGTACATACGAATGAGAATTATAATCGTTTGGATGTCGTTATAAGTGTGTACATACGAATGAGAATTATAATCGTTTGGATGTCGTTATAAGTGTGTACATGCGAATGAGAATTATAATCGTTTGGATGTCGTTATAAGTGTGTACATGCGAAAGAGAATTATAATCGTTTCGATGTCGTTATAGGTGTGTACATGCGAATGAGAATTATAATCGTTTGGATGTCGTTATAAGTGTGTACATGCGAATGAGAATTATAATCGTTTGGATTTCGTTATAAGTGTGTACATACGAATCAGAATTATAATCGTTTGGATGTCGTTATAAGTGTGTACATACGAATGAGAATTATAATCGTTTGGATGTCGTTATAAGTGTGTACATACGAATGCGAATTATAATCGTTTGGATGTCGTTATAAGTGTGTACATACGAATGCGAATTATAATCGTGTGTATGTCGTTAAGATGTGTACATACGAATGAGAATTGTAATCGTTTGGTTGTCGTTATAAGTGTGTACATACGAATGAGAATTATAATCGTTTGGATGTCGTTAAGTGTGTACATACGAATGAGAATTATAATCGTTTGGATGTCGTTATAAGTGTGTACATGCGAATGAGAATTATAATCGTTTGGATGTCGTTATAAGTGTGTACATGCGAATGAGAATTGTAATCGTTTGGATGTCGTTATAAGTGTGTACATACGAATGCGAATTATAATCGTTTGGATGTCGTTATAAGTGTGTACATACGAATGAGAATTATAATCGTTTGGATGTCGTTATAAGTGTGTACATGCGAATGAGAATTATAATCGTTTGGATGTCGTTATAAGTGTGTACATACGAATGCGAATTATAATCGTTTGGATGTCGTTATAAGTGTGTACATACGAATGAGAATTATAATCGTTTGGATGTCGTTATAAGTGTGTACATACGAATGAGAATTATAATCGTTTGGATGTCGTTATAAGTGTGTACATACGAATGAGAATTATAATCGTTTGGATGTCGTTATAAGTGTGTACATACGAATGAGAATTATAATCGTTTGGATGTCGTTAAGTGTGTACATACGGATGAGAATTATAATTCGTTTGGATGTCGTTATAAGTGTGTACATACGAATGAGAATTATAATCGTTTGGATGTCGTTATAAGTGTGTACATACGAATGAGAATTATAATCGTTTGGATGTCGTTAAGTGTGTACATACGAATGAGAATTATAATCGTTTGGATGTCGTTATAAGTGTGTACATACGAATGCGAATTATAATCGTTTGGATGTCGTTATAAGTGTGAACATACGAATGAGAATTATAATCGTTTGGATGTCGTTTAAGGGTGTACATGCGAATGAGAATTATAATCGTTTGGATGTCGTTATAAGTGTGTACATGCGAATGAGAATTATAATCGTTTGGATGTCGTTATAAGTGTGTACATGCGAATGAGAATTATAATCGTTTGGATGTCGTTATAAGTGTGTACATACGAATGCGAATTATAATCGTTTGGATGTCGTTATAAGTGTGTACATACGAATGAGAATTATAATCGTTTGGATGTCGTTATAAGTGTGTACATAAGAATGCGAATTATAATCGTTTGGATGTCGTTATAAGTGTGTACATAAGAATGCGAATTATAATCGTTTGGATGTCGTTATAAGTGTGTTCATTAGAATGCGAATTATAATCGTTTGCATGTCGTTATAAGTGTGTACATGCGAATGCGAATTATAATCGTTTGGATGTCGTTATAAGTGTGTTCGTTAGAATGAGAATTATTTTCGTTTGGATGTCGTTATAAGTGGTGTACATAAGAATGCGAATTATAATCGTTTGGATGTCGTTAAGTGTGTACATACGAATGAGAATTATAATCGTTTAGATGTCGTTATAAGTGTGTACATACGAATGCGAATTATAATCGTTTAGATGTCGTTATAAGTGTGTACATACGAATGAGAATTATAATCGTTTGGATGTCGTTAAGTGTGTACATACGAATGCGAATTATAATCGTTTGGATGTCGTTATAAGTATGTACATGCGAATACGAATTATAATCGTTTGGATGTCGTTATAAGTGTGTACATACGAATGCGAATTATAATCGTTTGGATGTCGTTATAAGTGTGTTCATTAGAATGATAATTATTTTCGTTTGCATGCCGTTATAGGTGTGTACATGCGAATGAGAATTATAATCGTTTGGATGTCGTTATAAGTGTGTTCATTAGAATGCGAATTATTTTCGTTTGGATGTCGTTATAAGTGGTGTACATAAGAATGAGAATTTTAATCGTTTGTATGTCGTTAAGATGTGTACATGCGGATGAGAATTATAATAGTTTGTATGTCGTTATAAGTGTGTACATACGAATGAGAATTATAATCGTTTGGATGTCGTTAAGTGTGTACATACGAATGCGAATTATAATCGTTTGGATGTCGTTATAAGTGTGTACAACGAATGAGAATTATAATCGTTTAGATGTCGTTATAAGTGTGTACATACGAATGAGAATTATAATCGTTTGGATGTCGTTAAGTGTGTACATTCGAATGAGAATTATAATCGTTTGGATGTCGTTATAAGTGTGTACATAAGAATACCAATTATAATCGTTTGGATGTCGTTATAAGTGTGTACATAAGAATGCGAATTATAATCGTTTGGATGTCGTTATAAGTGTGTTCATTAGAATGAGAATTATAATCGTTTTGGTGTCGTTAAGTGTGTACATAAGAATGCGAATTATAATCGTTTGGATGTCGTTATAAGTGTGTTCATTAGAATGAGAATTATAATCGTTTGGATGTCGTTATAAGTGTGTACATACGTATGAGAATTATAATCGTTTAGATGTCGTTATAAGTGTGTACATACGAATGAGAAATATAATCGTTTGTATGTCGTTAAGTGTGTACATACGAATGCGAATTATAATCGTTTGGATGTTGTTATAAGTGTGTACATAAGAATGCGAATTATAATCGTTTGGATGTCGTTATAAGTGTGTTCATTAGAATGAGAATTATAATCGTTTGGATGTCGTTATAAGTGTGTACATACGAATGCGAATTATAATCGTTTGGATGTCGTTATAAGTTTGTACATACGAATGAGAATTATAATCGTTTGGATGTCGTTATAAGTGTGTAGAAAAGAATGCGAATTATACTAGTTTGGATGTCGTTATATGTGTGTACATAGGTTCACAGCTGTACACAATGTAGAGGGAAGGCTACCGCGCGTTGTATCAGGACATGGGGTAACTACCAGTAATAACATTATTTGTACCCAGCAGTTTCTATGACACTACCAGTAATAACATCACTATTTGTACCCAGCAGTTTCTATGACACTACCAGTAATAACATCACTATTTGAACCCAGCAGTTTCTATGACACTACCAGTAATAACATCACTATTTGTACCCAGCAGTTTCTATGACACTACCAGTAATAACATCACTATTTGAACCCAGCAGTTTCTATGACACTACCAGTAATAACATCACTATTTGTACCCAGCAGTTTCTATGAAACTACCAGTAATAACATCACTATTTGTACCCAGCAGTTTCTATGACACTACCAGTAATAACATCACTATTTGTACCCAGCAGTTTCTATGACACTACCAGTAATAACATCACTATTTGTACCCAGCAGTTTCTATGACACTACCAGTAATAACATCACTATTTGTACCCAGCAGTTTCTATGACACTACCAGTAATAACATCACTATTTGTACCCAGCTGTTTCCATGACACTACCAGTAATAACATCACTATTTGTACCCAGCAGTTTCTATGACACTACCAGTAATAACATCACTATTTGTACCCAGCTGTTTCCATGACACTACCAGTAATAACATTACTATTTGTACCCAGCAGTTTCTATGACACTACCAAAATGACACTTATGAGTCATATATAAACATGTCCGATAACTTTCATTACAATATTTCAAAGTTTTCCTGGACTTTAAAAGTTGCCATTACGCGTGGCCACAAAGGGCACTTACGATAGTCCTTTGATTTTGGTAACTATTAACACATACTCTTCAGATTAACTGAGTACAACATGTGAAGACACACGCAACATACACAACAGAACCTGTTGATAGCATTGCGACGGAAACAATATGAGAGTCTATTCCCAAGATGATGTTGGTTTTATTTACGCAGATATCGCAATGTTAGGTTTGTAACATCATGGTCATCCGCACACTATCAACAGCGACAGTATAACTGCACAACGTAATAGGCATGGATTAGGCGATCTAATCGGTATGTGAGAGTGCCAGTTCGCGGACCGAGCGTCTCAACACTCGCGAAACCAGGTCGAATGAAAATGTGCATCACCATCATCAGAAACCTACCACACCGAAATATATAACATGGAATGCCTTACCTGTTGCCACAAGAACAGCGAGAACCATGCCAATAGGCAGGTAGCGCAGCGACCAATGAACCATGGCGGATCTGAAGGGGAATATCCTATGTAGGCTGCCCTCTGTTGTGTATGTGGTAAGTATTGAGGCTATCACCGGAAGATGTTAGTTAATAGCGACTGATCATTTAAAAAATCAATATCATATCACATGCAACGGCTTGCCCTCGTCTCTGTGGGTTCATCCCTTTGTAGAGAATTGACGCCCTGGCGACACAAGCTTGTGAGAGCTTTTGTCGACAATTAGTCATTTCTGCTAAATTGGCTTAATGTCTAAACCGTAGTATACATCTACTGAGGGCCCTACAGTAAGGATAAACTGTTAGATAAGAACCATCAACAGCTTTTCGTCTATATCAACCTGTCATATGTTATGTGACAAACTAAATTCACCATTCCCGTTTGAGCGATCACATGGACATGATAACTTTATGTTTTGTAAGCGGATGATGTCACAGAATATAGAGAGCTCCGCGAACGGACTATCGCTGCAAGGAGCTTGGATTAGAAGGAGTCATAAAGAGTTACTTCCCCTAGACCATTGGTTTGACAGGTGTACTTTCGGTTTGGGTTTTTCTCAGAACTGGTGCAACCAGTGCAGTCTTTCCACCTGCACGTATACATCATGGAACCTTTATCGTCAAACATAGCCGTGGATGTGGAATCTATGATCGGTAAGTGTACTAAATATACCGGACAAGTAGCTTTTACCGTCAGCCACAGGACCATGTAATAATACCAACAAACAAACCCGCAGACGAGTCCGAGTCTGTTGGTTATTATTATTAGTAACATGGTCCTGTGTGTCAGCGAAAGCCCATTTGGGTACCAGTTAAAATCAGTTAAAGCGAAAAACACTGCACTTGAACAAGCCGGTATGTAATCCTAATGCACGTACATTATGTGAGGTTTGATCGTTGTACTCAGTGCATTCGTAATGGACGGGCTTATAATTAATGCATGAGCTTAGATTTGGCATTGCTGACTGCACATCAATACACTGTCAGCTCGTTACGGATAATCTACCCCTGAAACACTACAGAGTGACGTCATAGTGCATTTAATCTGATTATGTATTTTGTTATTTTTGTGCAGTATTATAAGTCAGATAACGCACACGAAGGACGCTCGTTACAGATAATGATACCCATCTTTGAGTGAGTGAGTGAGTGAGTATGGTTTTACGCCGCCTTTAGCAATATTCCAGCAATATCACGGCGGGGGACACCAGAAATGGGCTTCACACATTGTACCCATGTCGGGAATCGAACCCGGGTCTTCGGCGTGACGAGCGAACGCTTTAACCACTAGGCTACCCGACACCCCCACCCGTCTTTAAAGCTCTACGGCAACTTGTTTATTGATCCTGGGTGGTTTTTAGAGTGCAGTCTTTTGGCTATAGGTATCTTCTTACTCTGAATTCAAAGGTCATGGTCATGCGGAATTTCTCTTGATCCCAACAATCTGATGTCAGCTCCATTTTCCAGTTATTCCTCACAGGTCATATAACTGGGAATCGATAAGCATCATCACTGATTTTTGATCACATGGTTACAATCGGTGCTCGTTCTTGCATCATCACTGATTTTTGATCACATGGTTACAATCGGTGCTCGTTCTTGCATCATCACTGATTTTTGATCACATGGTTACAATCGGTGCTCGTTCTTGCATCATCACTGATTTTTGATCACATGGTTACAATCGGTGCTCGTTCTTGCATCATCACTGATTTTTGATCACATGGTTACAATCGGTGCTCGTTCTTGCATCATCACTGATTTTTGATCACATGGTTACAATCGGTGTTCGTTCTTGCATCATCAGCACGAACGGAAAGAAAAAAGTCGTGTCGATGTAGTATTTAAAGCGCTCATGACCAAATGCACTGCGAAAGGTAACGTTTCGCAGTCACATGACTACCGATTCTTACCTTGATTGTAACTACGTGATCAAATCTAGCAAAATGGATATTTATTGAAAAGCGCACTTTACAGTTTTCATTACTGTATATAATATTCCTTTTAGCAGGAATGGTTTGTTGTCACTTTATGAATACAGATCTCCATTATTTAATCATAATCATTTTTTAATCATAGTTCGTGATTCTATAGCAAGTGGCGAGGGATATAATGCCGGCTATATACTGAGATACCATGCCGCATTTTAACATGTATAGACCCGTGAATATCGGGTAGAGAATAGCTCTTCAGCAACCCATGCTTGCCGTAATAGGTGACTATGCTTGTAGAGGCAACTAATGGGATCGGGTGGTCAGGCTCGCTGTCTTGGTTGATGCATGTCATCGTATCCCAATTGCGTGGATTATTGCTCATGATGTCAATCACTGGATTGTCTGTTCCAGACGCGGTTATTTACAGACCGCTGTCATATAGCTGAAATATTGCTGTGTGCGGTGTTAAACAACAAACAAACAAATAAACAAACAAAGAATACCCCACTCAGACACAGTGTACTGACCCCAAGCCGGCCAGTCCTTATTTTATTCCCTCAAAAAATAATTATTGTCCCGAAAAGTCTTGAAAATAATAATTATGATGCAGACTGTTGAAAAAAAGGTATTACCTGCCACAAAGATTACATTGTTGCAAGGTGTTTTTCTTAAAAAATTCAGACTCGATACAAATTCGAGCCAATGCTCTATAAAACAACGAGACAAATGTACATGTATAAGGTGAGCTACAACGTAACAGTGCAATATTGTCCACAGGATGTCCAATACAGTTCACTGTTGGAAAGGCTGAACCGCCCCCCGTCCCCGACATGTACCAATATTACTACCCAGTTGGGAACTGTCCCCCAGGGGATGTGACCCACGGATGCTGCATCCCAACCCCCTGTAATGTCCTTCTGCTGGGGTGTGGGGACGTAAGGTTCCTCCTTCACACCCTGGATGCACTGCGCGATCGCCTACTTGTCACGGGGCCAAAACCTACCCTCAACTTCCACTTGAATGACATCGAGGACGGGATACTGGCCAGGACACTCGTCATTCTGTACCTGGTTGACACGATCGATGTGAACAATGGGAATGACCTGAAGTTTCTGTGGGCTGTGTGGTACGATGTGCTGCTTAGCAAGGCTCATCTGACAAGACTGAAAGGGATTATGAAGGACCTTGTGATGGTCAGTTCCGGAGACCATGGGATTATATTTGGCTCGCCCAAAACACAGGAGAAGGTCGTCCATGCACTGAAATGTTGGGGGAAAAAGAAATTACGACCTGAAACAGTCATTAGTGACAGGAAGGACTTCTGTTTTGGTGACTACAGTTCAGAACAATACCCACAGACACCTACCCGGCGTGTAGGATCCAGATTCACGGAACAGCACCAGATGTTCGTTGACACTAAGAGTCTAAGCAACAGGTAATTTTCTCCTTTTTTCTGTGTGAATAATGTTTGTTTATCTGAACATTCTCACCGCTGGAGGTGGGGTATCTATCTTTGTAGTGCTAGCCCACTGAGATAATATCTAGGTTTAACATGGATACCGCACTCAAGATAGAGTACACTGACTCCGAGCCGACCAGTCCTTGTTTTATCCCCGTAATGACGATCGCCAGGCACGGTTGACAAAAAGTACCATCTTTTAACGTCTTTTGATATGACGCGGCCGGGGATCGAACCCCCGACCTTGCGCTCTCCGGGCGGACGCTCTGTCTACTAGACCACAGTGGCGGCCTCACCGCCCCGAGGTCACTGATGGTAGGCTTTACTTTGGGTCATCAAAAATGGGGAAGAAATGAATGAGGGAAGTTTGTTTTACGCCACGGTTCCGAGGACATATAAGTGAATGAGTGAGTTGTGTTTAACGCCGTTTTTAACAGTATTCCAGTTATATCACGCCGTGTCAGACGCGTGTCATGTGGGCATAAAAGCCCGAAGTGATGCAGGTCTCAGACGTTTACCACTTCGGTGAAACCAACGAGCACGGGTATAGTGCTGACAAACCTAGAAACATAATCGGGGCGAATCGGGATTCGAACCCACAATCATAGGTTTCTGGCATGCCCAAGGGACGCAACTCTGCACAGCGAATTGCGCTGCCTCAGACGACCGGGTTGCCCGTGCTTCCAAAGGACATAAGAAATGTACGTAGCGATTGTATTAATAAGATGGTAAGACTCAGTGTGGGACGTTGCTCATGATATCAATCACTGTCGTCGTAATATGGCCGTAATATGCTGAGCGCGACGTTAAACAGCTTTAAGAAACAAGAAGAGTTTTAATGTCTATTATTTACAACAAATATTCATACACAGGCGATTTTCCTTGTTAATACAATTCATTGTCACCTGCTTCCACTGACCGCATCATATGTCGCAGACTGCACGAAGAAATCTGCGAATACGTACTGTGTGGTGTGACCAGAGTCAACTCAGGATTAAAGACCATGCAGGAAATCCTCAAATCTTTCCACGCCAACCCAACGTTCTATCGCCCACAGGAGACGGTGTGGAAGGTGCAGGACAACTGCAGTCCCTTCATGTGTTACAATGTTGACTACCAACTGGAAAGGTTCGTAGAACACTTCTATTTTCACTTTATTACACTACACATGGGGGTGGGGTAGTGCCAACTTTATTTCTTTATATATATATATTTTATATATATATATATATAAACTCTTAAGAAGTAGGGAATCATGAACTTTAAATGTATAATTTCAATTATAAGAACAAAGCTGAATGTTGACGACAAACATCCGATGCAAGAATGTTTATGCCTGTGAAACTTAACATCAAAACGCACACCTATAGTTTACACGTGCCTCACGCAGAAGCGCCACTCACGTTGATTACACTCTGTGGACCATTATTTCTGTCAATCTTATTGATTCTGCTTATCATACAATTACTTTTTGATTTCATTCTAACGATGCGGTGTCGGCAACGCGCGGAGAAACTAAGAGCTATTGGCATGCTGGAAAAGTGGCAGAATGTTAAATGTTTCACAGTATATCATTAGCAGACTACAGAACAGGTACCAGAATACCTAATATGGTTCAGGGCGTCCCAGGTCAACGACAAGAGAACATGACCTGAAACCAGTTGAGTTCAAACGGCGAATCAAATTACAGCACACTTTAATCAGGCTACTGGATTGCGAGTTACGGGTCCAGAGATTTGGCATACTCTTCAAGCAGCTCTTCTCAAACTCGATGGCCACGTGTTGTGCCTCCCCTTACAATTCTTCATTTTTCCAGCCGACGCCAATGGTTTACACAACGTCGAAACTGGGGTAAACGTTGCTGATTTCCGGTTTTCAGATGACTCTCGACTCACTTTGCACTTCCTTTTAGGCAAGGTCGAGGCTCTGGTGATGTCGAAGTAAACCTCAATCCAAAATCTCATGACCGATTTGGCGGTGGATCGGCTGTGGTTTTGGGTGGAATCACTGTGACTGACCCAACTTGTTGTGCAAGGAAGGGTCACTGGGCATTACTGTTGGGACAACACACTGATGCCTTTTGTTTTCCCGTTTGCAAGGCCCCGTTTGTTTGTCCGGTTGACCTGTGTGGGTCGACGTCTTGACTTTCAGGACGACAACGCCCGTGCTCACCGTACACGAATCGTCAGTGCTTACCTCCAGCAGCACAACATTCCTAGAATGCCATGGCCAGCAATGAGCCCAGACCTTTCCCTCATTGGACACGCCTGGGACATGATGGGGAGACGTGTGCGTGAACGACATAGGCCGGCCATCACGTTGGTTGAACTTGGCCAAGCGTTGCAACAGGTGCGGGACAGACTCCCTCAAATCGCCATTGGAAGACTTGAGTGTTGCTTAACGCCGCACTCAGCAATATTCCAGCTTTATGTCGGCGGTCTGTAAATAATCGAGTCTGGACCAGACAATCCAGTGATTGACATCATGAGCATCAATCCACGCAATTGGGATACGATGACATGCATCAACCAAGTCAACAAGCCTGACCACCCGATCCGGTTAGTTGCCTTTTACGACAAGCATAGCCGCCCTTTACTGAAAGTATGGGTTCTATTCTTCCCCGGATCTTCATGGGTCTCGAGTGTATGAATGTTTGACAAATCATGGCGGTATTATGCACTACTGATCCAAAAACGTCAACTTACAAAATGTCCCATCTTAGCCCTGTCGTTCTTTATGACGTTGGTGGGCATAATATCTACTGTCATACTTCACTATTGTAATGTGTTCCCAATTCGTTCACTATTATCTTACAACTACACTGTGAAATTAGAACTCTTACAATTTTGGAATTTTTAAGTTATTTGCGGGAATCCCCTACTTTTTAAGAGTATATATTAACTCAGTTACTTTATCAGTATTCATCTGTTGAATGGCAAAGAAGTGGCCATGAAACGTCATTACAAAGAATAAAGAAGTTGTTATCCATAAACAAATGGAATGCCTTGTCCGTTTATTCTAACATTTTAAAACATGAATATGATATTTTTACTGTGCTGCTACAGAAGCAATTGTTCTGTCTTTCAATATTAAAATAAAAACATATTTCCATATTATAAATTGTGATTGTAACACGAACCTTAATTAAAATCGATATTTAGGAGGAACTTATTTACTGAGCGCATGACACAACAAAACTGTCGTTAGCAATACGTCTCCTCGTGCTCACCTTCGAAAAGATGCATGATATGAGGTGCCGCGAAACCGATCAATGGTTTCAAGGTACTCCAATAACGATGGTTCATTTTACGAAAGGGGTGGTCACATGTTCAAGCCCATTTCTCAGAAAATAAACAAAGAACAGGAAATATCACAAATTCAATTCTTTATCACAGTTCCTCATCTTACTTGTCATTTGTAGTTATGGGTATTTATAAAATACAAATAATCAAAATTAGAAAAGACGTACATACTGTGTCAACTCGCCTGAAACTGAGGTGGTGACGAGAGACGTCAAACATGTGCGATATTTTTAGACATGCAGCTTAGCTGGGATGGAAAAAGTTGTTTACTGTCACAGTGGAATTACATATGTGAAAGAGACCATGGGAATTAGCAGAAGAATTAACCTGGAAGTTAATCAGATCAGGGAACATACCTACTTTTATGTTACAATACATAATTATATGACATACATTCTGAATCATGAAGACAAGTGTTGGGTTCTAAACTACGTTTATAACGAACACGCTTGTAACGAACTGGCGGATATAACAAACTGCTTTTTGGTCCCGGACATTTGCTGTATATATGCTGTTTATGCTTATAACGAACTACGGTTATAACGAACTAAAAATAGTTATCCCCTTGAGTTCGTTATAACCGTAGTTCGTTATAACCATAGTTTACTTGCGGGTAGTTTACTGTACCAATAAAGCTGTTAAAACGTTATTAAACATATTGCATGCGATGTTCTACAAAGTAGCTGACAAATCTGGTTCCCATATCATATAGCTCTCCTGTGTTAGTAGACATCATTTCCACTCCTGTTGTGTGTGTGCCAGATATGCCAGCACTACAATCACGATGTCGACGTTGTTCCTGGAGACGCTGAAGAAGTGGGTGCAGACATATCAACACATCAGGCGTGACGGGTGGGATCTCAATGTAAATGTCATTCTGCTGTACGCACCATTTGATTCCTGTAACATGGAAGTCAATGTCCTAAACGAACACTGTACACTACTCAGCTTTTGATAGGCATAAAGTGTCCAGGGTGCCGTTGTACAAGTCAACCCTATCGCTACGACTGTCTTAAGTCCATGTTTAGGTGTGGGAGACAATCGACTCAGCGCTAAGATTGATTTGTACAACGGCACCCAGGACTGAATGTGATTGATCGCTGGGAGAGGTCATACGAAAAGCTTTCAATATTTGCCTTGGAACTGAATCATTTTCATCATCATTATAAATAATAAGTCATATATATAACATTAAGCTGCAATTTACGTATTGTAACAGCAATAGAATATCTCCATATCCTCGTCACAATTTAGTATGTAATGCTGTATTGATAAATGTGTAGAATGTTGATCCTGATTAAGTTTCATACCAAGTCAATCACATTCTGATGCTGGTTTTGTGTAAAGTTGTTAATATAATTATACTTATGTCAGGCTCTGTGACCTATTTGATCACAGTATGTGACTTCACTGTGTGTTATCGAACCCCAGGGCCGTGGATTGTTGCTCGTGTTCAATCACTCGTTTGTCTGGTCGAGATTCAAATATTTACAGACCGCCGAGACACGACGTGAACGCTAAGTAACATTCTCTCACCCCCTCCGTTTCAGATCAGTCTGTGGCTCGGTCATTGTGCGGATGTGTGTAGTGATGACTTACCTGAGGATCTGAAATTTGACTTCATCCACACAACCAACACGGCCGACAATGTAGGGATTATCCCTCTGCTTGTGACGTGTGAAGGCCGACTGAAGAGGTACGCATGAGTCCGTCACGTTGTGCATGTCCGTGGCACATACATGCTGAGTGAGTGAGTGAGTGTGGTTTTACGCCGCTTTCAGCAATATTCCAGGAATATCACAACGGGATGGGGGTACCGGGTCTTTAACCACTAGGCTACCCCACCACATACAATACACATACATACTGTTTCATTAAAGATGGTTGAGCGTTTTGTGAATAAGGTAGTCATATTCCGGCTTATTACAGTAACTGAATCTGTCGTTTTGGTTGCAGAGACAATGGTGTAGTTAACATTGAAAGCTACCACTGCAGCCTGTCCCATACCAACGTACCTGAGACACTGAACTCGTGTGTGGACCTTGCGCTCACGATGTATCCCACCGTCCTCGGACTACAGCTGGCAGAAAACTTGCATCTTGGTCACGAGTGAGTGCGGACACCTGGCTTTGTTGATTTACCATGTATTATAATAAGATCTACAATTGTCAGAGGACTCGAATCTTGGTCACGAGTAAGTGCGGACACCTGGCTATGTTGATTTACCAATTATTATAATAAGATCTACAATTGTCAGAGGACTCGAATCTTGGTCACGAGTAAGTGCGGACACCTGGCTTTGTTGATTTACCATGTATTATAATAAGATCTACAATTGTCAGAGGACTCGAATCTTGGTCACGAGTAAGTGCGGACACCTGGCTTTGTTGATTTACCATGTATTATAATAAGATCTACAATTGTCAGAGGACTCGAATCTTGGTCACGAGTAAGTGCGGACACCTGGCTTTGTTGATTTACCAATTATTATAATAAGATCTACAATTGTCAGAGGACTCGAATCTTGGTCACGAGTAAGTGCGGACACCTGGCTTTGTTGATTTACCAAGTATTATAATAAGATCTACAATTGTCAGAGGACTCGAATCTTGGTCACGAGTGAGTGCGGACACCTGGCTATGTTGATTTACCAAGTATTATAATAAGATCTACAGTTGTCAGAGGAATTGAATCTTGGTCACGAGTAAGTGCGGACACCTGGCTTTGTTGATTTACCATGTATTATAATAAGATCTACAATTGTCAGAGGACTCGAATCTTGGTCACGAGTAAGTGCGGACACCTGGCTATGTTGATTTACCATGTATTATAATAAGATCTACAATTGTCAGAGGACTTGAATCTTGGTCACGAGTAAGTGCGGACACCTGGCTATGTTGATTTACCATGTATTATAATAAGATCTACAATTGTCAGAGGACTCGAATCTTGGTCACGAGTAAGTGCGGACACCTGGCTATGTTGATTTACCATGTATTATAATAAGATCTACAATTGTCAGAGGACTCGAATCTTGGTCACGAGTAAGTGCGGACACCTGGCTTTGTTGATTTACCATGTATTATAATAAGATCTACAATTGTCAGAGGACTCGAATCTTGGTCACGAGTAAGTGCGGACACCTGGCTATGTTGATTTACCATGTATTATAATAAGATCTACAATTGTCAGAGGACTCCAATCTTGGTCACGAGTAAGTGCGGACACCTGGCTATGTTGATTTACCATGTATTATAATAAGATCTACAATTGTCAGAGGACTTGAATCTTGGTCACGAGTAAGTGCGGACACCTGGCTATGTTGATTTACCATGTATTATAATAAGATCTACAATTGTCAGAGGACTCGAATCTTGGTCACGAGTAAGTGCGGACACCTGGCTATGTTGATTTACCAAGTATTATAATAAGATCTACAATTGTCAGAGGACTCGAATCTTGGTCACGAGTAAGTGCGGACACCTGGCTATGTTGATTTACCATGTATTATAATAAGATCTACAATTGTCAGAGGACTCGAATCTTGGTCACGAGTAAGTGCGGACACCTGGCTTTGTTGATTTACCAATTATTATAATAAGATCTACAATTGTCAGAGGACTGGAATCTTGGTCACGAGTAAGTGCGGACACCTGGCTATATTGATTTACCAAGTATTATAATAAGATCTACAATTGGCAGAGTACTTGAATCTTGGTCACCAGTAAGTGCGGACACCTGGCTTTGTTGATTTACCAATTATTATAATAAGATCTTCAATTGGCAGAGGACTCGAATCTTGGTCACGAGTAAGTGCGGACACCTGGCTATGTTGATTTACCATGTATTATAATAAGATCTACAATTGGCAGAGGAATTGAATCTTGGTCACGAGTAAGTGCGGACACCTGGCTATGTTGATTTACCATGTGTTATAATAAGATCTACAATTGTCAGAGGACTCGAATCTTGGTCACGAGTAAGTGCGGACACCTGGCTTTGTTGATTTACCAAGTATTATTATAAGATCTACAATTGTCAGAGGACTCGAATCTTGGTCACAAGTAAGTGCGGACACCTGGCTATGTTGATTTACCAAGTATTATAATAAGATCTACAATTGTCAGAGGAATTGAATCTTGGTCACGAGTAAGTGCGGACACCTGGCTTTGTTGATTTACCATGTATTATAATAAGATCTACAATTGTCAGAGGACTCGAATCTTGGTCACGAGTAAGTGCGGACTCCTGGCTATGATGATTTACCATGTATTATAATAAGATCTACAATTGTCAGAGGACTTGAATCTTGGTCACGAGTAAGTGCGGACACCTGGCTATGTTGATTTACCATGTATTATAATAAGATCTACAATTGTCAGAGGACTCGAATCTTGGTCACGAGTAAGTGCGGACACCTGGCTATGTTGATTTACCAAGTATTATAATAAGATCTACAATTGTCAGAGGACTCGAATCTTGGTCACGAGTAAGTGTGGACACCTGGCTATGTTGATTTACCAAGTATTATAATAAGATCTACAATTGTCAGAGGACTCGAATCTTGGTCACGAGTAAGTGCGGACACCTGGCTATGTTGATTTACCATGTATTATAATAAGATCTACAATTGTCAGAGGACTCGAATCTTGGTCACGAGTAAGTGCGGACACCTGGCTTTGTTGATTTACCAATTATTATAATAAGATCTACAATTGTCAGAGGACTCGAATCTTGGTCACGAGTAAGTGCGGACACCTGGCTATGTTGATTTACCAAGTATTATAATAACATCTACAATTGGCAGAGGACTTGAATCTTGGTCATGAGTAAGTGCGGACACCTGGCTTTGTTGATTTACCAATTATTATAATAAGATCTTCAATTGGCAGAGGACTTGAATCTTGGTCACGAGTAAGTGCGGACACCTGGCTATGTTGATTTACCATGTATTATAATAAGATCTACAATTGGCAGAGGACTTGAATCTTGGTCACGAGTAAGTGCGGACACCTGGCTATGTTGATTTACCATGTATTATAATAAGATCTACAATTGTCAGAGGACTCGAATCTTGGTCACGAGTAAGTGTGGACACCTGGCTTTGTTGATTTACCATGTATTATAATAAGATCTACAATTGTCAGAGGACTCGAATCTTGGTCACGAGTAAGTGCGGACACCTGGCTATGTTGATTTACCATGTATTATAATAAGATCTACAATTGTCAGAGGACTCGAATCTTGGTCACGAGTAAGTGCGGACACCTGGCTATGTTGATTTACCATGTATTATAATAAGATCTACAATTGTCAGAGGACTCGAATCTTGGTCACGAGTAAGTGCGGACACCTGGCTATGTTGATTTACCAAGTATTATAATAAGATCTACAATTGTCAGAGGACTCGAATCTTGGTCACGAGTAAGTGCGGACACCTGGCTATGTTGATTTACCATGTATTATAATAAGATCTACAATTGTCAGAGGACTCGAATCTTGGTCACGAGTAAGTGCGGACACCTGGCTTTGTTGATTTACCAATTATTATAATAAGATCTACATTTGTCAGAGGACTCGAATCTTGGTCACGAGTAAGTGCGGACACCTGGCTATGTTGATTTACCAAGTATTATAATAACATCTACAATTGTCAGAGGACTTGAATCTTGGTCACGAGTAAGTGCGGACACCTGGCTATGTTGATTTACCAATTATTATAATAAGATCTTCAATTGGCAGAGGACTTGAATCTTGGTCACGAGTAAGTGCGGACACCTGGCTATGTTGATTTACCATGTATTATAATAAGATCTACAATTGGCAGAGGACTTGAATCTTGGTCACGAGTAAGTGCGGACACCTGGCTATGTTGATTTACCATGTATTATAATAAGATCTACAATTGCCAGAGGACTCGAATCTTGGTCACGAGTAAGTGCGGACACCTGGCTATGTTGATTTACCATGTATTATAATAAGATCTACAATTGTCAGAGGACTCGAATCTTGGTCACGAGTAAGTGCGGACACCTGGCTATGTTAATTTACCAAGTATTATAATAAGATCTACAATTGTCAGAGGACTCGAATCTTGGTCACGAGTAAGTGCGGACACCTGGCTATGTTGATTTACCATGTATTATAATAAGATCTACAATTGTCAGAGGACTCGAATCTTGGTCACGAGTAAGTGCGGACACCTGGTTATGTTGATTTACCAAGTATTATAATAAGATCTACAATTGTCAGAGGACTCGAATCTTGGTCACGAGTAAGTGCGGACACCTGGCTTTGTTGATTTACCATGTATTATAATAAGATCTACAATTGTCAGAGGACGCGAATCTTGGTCACGAGTAAGTGCGGACACCTGGCTATGTTGATTTACCAAGTATTATAATAAGATCTACAATTGTCAGAGGACTCGAATCTTGGTCACGAGTAAGTGCGGACACCTGGCTATGTTGATTTACCATGTATTATAATAAGATCTACAATTGTCAGAGGACTCGAATCTTGGTCACGAGTAAGTGCGGACACCTGGCTTTGTTGATTTACCAATTATTATAATAAGATCTACAATTGTCAGAGGACTCGAATCTTGGTCACGAGTAAGTGCGGACACCTGGCTATGTTGATTTACCAAGTATTATAATAAGATCTACAATTGGCAGAGGACTTGAATCTTGGTCACCAGTAAGTGCGGACACCTGGCTTTGTTGATTTACCAATTATTATAATAAGATCTTCAATTGGCAGAGGACTCGAATCTTGTTCACGAGTAAGTGCGGACACCTGGCTATGTTGATTTACCATGTATTATAATAAGATCTACAATTGGCAGAGGAATTGAATCTTGGTCACGAGTAAGTGCGGACACCTGGCTATGTTGATTTACCAAGTATTATAATAAGATCTACAATTGTCAGAGGACTCGAATCTTGGTCACGAGTAAGTGCGGACACCTGGCTATGTTGATTTACCATGTATTATAATAAGATCTACAATTGTCAGAGGACTCGAATCTTGGTCACGAGTAAGTGCGGACACCTGGCTTTGTTGATTTACCAATTATTATAATAAGATCTACATTTGTCAGAGGACTC